AGAATGTGATCAAATTTGTCATATTTTGAACACTTGATGTTCTTACCATCTCTAAACTTAAACGTGTATCTAAACTTGATCTTTGTCTTTCTATTTTCTACCACTCTAGAAGGTGTCATACCACAAAAAAACAATCAAAGTACTAGACGATGAGGTGGATTGATCAGAAGAGTAATGGACAGACACCAACAGCTTCTGTTGCATATTGTCAGTCAATAAAGTAGTAACAACTTCATTGTAAATGATAGTTTCCTTGTCACAGTAAAGCAACACTCGTGACAAGGACTAAGAAGAGGCAAGCAAAGAATTTAACAATTGCATTGCTTTTTGCTCATCACTCAAATCTTTTTCAAGGTTTTCAAGATCCACAATCAAATTATTGAAATCATCTACATGATCTTGAAAATTTGATATCTTCCGCCATTCCAAAGCTGATAAGCTTCCAAATTGTGTACAACCGGTTTAAAAGCTTCTTCTTTTGATACTTTTCATGCAATGTTGCAAACAAATCTGCTACCATTGACGTAACTTCCATTTTCTTGAGGACATTTAGTTTGAGATACAATAGCACAATGATCACCGCTTGGTATTAGATGTCGTTCTAGTCATCATCATCTACGTTGTTAGGTCATGGCTTAAGCATTTTGCCCAAATTCATGACATCAAGTACAAAAGTAATTTGTCGCTCCATAAGACATAATCATTCCGTCCATCAAAGTTTTCCATCTCAAACTGTGGACCTCCAAGCTTACTCATCGCCATGGATCGTTTTCTCTATTGAAACGTATTCTGAGTTTGCCCCGTAGTGTATTTCTCTCCCTGATGCAATTGAGTTACTTTTGAGAACTCTCAACTCGCTCATCCCTCAGTGAGTTGGCAAAAACTCAATACTTCCAACATTTATCCACAAAAATGATCAAAAAATGAAGTTTCACAAAATAAATATTTAATTGCATTACCGCATAGCCTGGAAGGTATTGCACTATAATCTGAAACATTTGTCACAAAAGTTGTTGAGTAAAAAGGTTTTTGACCCAAAGCAAAGGAAGGTCAAAAATTGAAAATCAACCCCCAAGATGATACTTTGCCGTAAAAAATTAACCGCTGAACAATCATCAGCTAAATAAATTTTTATAATTTTTCAATTGCGCTATGTATCATCTAAAAAAATCTGAATTCCAAAAAGTTCCGTTTGATCTTTTGTTTCTCATGATTGTGTAGCAAAAATCACCTCACTAAAAGAAGTCTCTTTCAAATGGGTCTTTTCATAGGTTTTCACAAGATTTAGGCGACGATGCGTGTACTTCTCGAAATACGGGTCATGACTGTAAGACCAGATATTGCATGTGTGAAATAAAACTAGAATTAGCCAAGGAGTTAATCATGGTTAGGATAGTTATGACTAAATCTAGCTAATTATGACTAAGTCTAGCTAGTTTAGCTATAATGTCTATACTTGTCGGAATAAGTAGAGAAGTTCTAGAAGATTTGAGTGAGCACTTCTATTTTGTCTTGTACAAAAGTCTAGATTCCAAGAGAAAAGACTTTTGAACTTCATGTTTAGTTTTGATTGGTTTGACTAAAGTAAGGAGTATTCCATTGGTTAGACTAAGTCTAATGTCGACTTAGTGGAAAGTGGAAGTTCTAGAAGTTGGAAAGGCACAAATGGCATGTCGCCACCTCAATCTAGGGATTAGTAAACATCTAGAAGCTTTAGGGGGCCAATGGCATGTTGCCACATATTGATAACTAGTCAACCTTACTATGGTTTATCTTCGTAAAAGTAAATTAGATAGAAATTACCATTTGTTACTATGGTAAATTCTCAAGTAGTATATATAGAGAGGTAGGGAAGAGCCTCTCAAGCAAGTTTGGAGAGTTCATATGTAGAGACTTGTTTCATATATGAAAGAGTGACAAATTTTCAGTACCTTGAAGTCTCGATGAGTGTATGAGTTGGAGTGATACCTTGAGAGATTGTGTGAGAGGGTGTTTAGCTTATGAGTATGATGCGGAATCCTAGTCTTCTAGAATCATGATGAGCTACCGAAAAGCCATCTGAGATAAACCTGAGTGAGAGTCAGCCCGGAGGTTGCCTGACCGTACTGACCTTACTTCTTTTGTAAAACAAAAAGTTCTTAAAACAAACTTTTAAACTTTAGCTAAAGTTTTAACTTTAATTTTAGCTAATTGTTACTAACAATATTTACTTTAGATTTATTTTGCTAACAACCTAAAGCGATGTATGCAAACTTCCAATGACAGCCCGAATAATAATTTTCCATACAATCTATCACGTGTTGTTTTCATCAAAAAAACAATGTGAGACAGTGAATGCAACTTGCATTTTGTACAGCACCAACAACCACTTCGATGCAAGACATGTTTCTTCTCACCACTTGAAATATAATTCAACAAGTGCAAAGCAACAACCTTGTTGCCCAACAGATGAAAACAATCTATGGAAAAATTTCTAACCAAAAAACAAATTTCCAACTCTTCAAACAGCCATGATTCTAAAATCCAAACTGTCTTGAACATCACTTTGATGATGCAAACTTTAAACCGATTTGCTACAGCTCTTCTTTCTTTATGAGATGATACAGTCGGTTAACAATAGTATGATAAGATGTCACAATAATAAATAATCGGTCTCTGATACCAATTGTAAGATCTTTTACTCTGTTCTTCAGACAAGCTCATACATACAATACTTCACAAGAATCACAGATTGATGTATGTGGTTCACCTCTGCATGAGACTACGTCCACGGCCTAGATGTACATGTACGGGAATGTACATAAGACCTTTGTAGCCAAGCTCTCCACTTTCTTTCCACTAAGGTGTACATGTGAGATTGAAACAAAAACGTGTTTATACTTAGGTTAAATATCCCAAATCTGACTAGAGACCAAGCTTAATTAGGCTTAGACTAACTATGATTTACAAGACGCAAATTAGGCTTATAGTAATGATACTTTTCTAATATATGTGGCTAAAAAGATTGATTTTGAAAATTATGATAAACTAAAAAATGTATTATGAAACTATAAGTATGTTCAATGCAATTTATCAAAAAATGTTGGTGACTTATTGTATTGAATAATGTTTTTTTCCATCACATTTGCTTTATTAAAGAATTTTTTGTACATTTTGAATATCAAACGAATCAATTTCAATTAGAAATTGAAAAATCATAAAAATAAATAAAAATAAAAATCTTTTCAAATTCAAATATTTGATGAAATAGAATGTATATTGATTCAAATTATATTCATATTCAATATTAGACCAAATATTATTATTATTTTAAAAGTAGACTCAAAAGTACTTGAATGTAACTCAAAGAAACAATGATAATATGTGATAAAATTTTGTTATGAGGATACAAACCTCCAAATTCAAACGTGTTAGAGTGTAATAAATTTTGTGTTGAATTCATATACTAGTCTGGAATTAAGATGACTTATGTATATCATTCAAGGTTGAGAGTATTAGATATTTCATAATACTTGGCAATAAAAGCTTGTTAACTATCAGTTTCAAAGTTGGCTTAAAGTTTTATGAAGATTATGTTATAGTAAGATATCATAGAAAAAATTTTGATGTTGGAACCCATCATTTCAAATATTATAATTTGTACATAATAAGAGTTGGTGTAATTTCAAAAAATATATATACCATATATTGAAGCTTATTCAATATTTGTGTGAACATATAAATTCTCACAAAATTGTATGATCTTTATGGTTTTTAAACGTTGGAAACTTGAATTAAGAATTAGATTGGACACAATAAGTGTTGGAGTCACGACTTCAAAGGCATGCCTCGGCGAGGTCAAGGGGGCATGCCTCATTTGCATTGTTTATAGAGGCATGCTCTTATGTATAAAAAAAATTATAATTATATTCTAGAGTTATAGACGGTGGGATAAGTCAAGATAAAAAAACTGTTCGGGAATGTATACTTTGTATACTACATATATACGTCAAATGTACTTATTGTAATACGGGCATGCCTTTTGATCTTGAAAAGGGTCAGAGACATGACTTGAAAAAATTTGTTGTGCCTCCAATACTAGACACAGTGTGAGGTACAAGTACAAATAATGGCGGAATTTATGTTTGTGAAAAAATTAAAAATTATTGCAAAGAGAATGATATCACTCTTCATCAGAGTATGAATTTTTTTCTTGACTTTACATATATATAACTTTACATCGTTAGATACACTTTGCAATGTAATGAATTCATATGATTTGTCATATGAATTTTGGACTTAACAGCAAGATGTATTTAGTAAATCTTCCTCCTTGTAGTACAATCCATTTTATGACCCTCTTTCAATTGAGTTCCGTATAAATAATTGCTTATTATAGTTAAAAAACTTTTTGGTTGTAAATTTATACCCCAGTGGCAAATGACAAAAGAACTAACTTGGAATATAATCAAAAGATATTTTCTTGAATGTACCTATGGAACGAAGTGTTCTAATCTATGGGTTTCGGTAGTTTGCAAATGTATTGCCAGTGGTGATTTTTTTTCCCAATAAACCTATATCTTTAAATGAAATGGAGATTTTACAAGTTTGAACTCCACGGATGTTGCATTGCTGATGATTGTGGATTTAGTAATACAGCACAAAAATAAGTTCCTGTGCATGTGAAATAGATCCTTGCAGAGAAAGATTGGAATACCATTGATTGGCCTAAAGTCCCCACATTAGAATAGTGATAAACAAAAACCTTCGACTGAAAAGTCATCAAACTGGATTGATAGAACTCGTGGAATACGACTTTTGTTTTCTGCCATTCTTAACATCGGAGCCAACCTTGATGAGTGCATGTTGCGACCGTTTTGCATAGTTGTGTTCCGTAGGGTATTTCAATGTCGTATGTTCATGGTCCATGAAAAACCTCCTCGACGCACTTTCTCACTCCCTAGTCACTTATTGACTTCTCGCTTTGATTGGTGACGAGGTGATGATAACTGGAATAAAACCTTGAGGAAAAAATTTAATAAAAAAGCAAGCAAACAAATCCTTCTGAGTCAATGAGAATGGGTATCCAGTTTCTTTTGCTCTCGCTGGCTAAGAGCATACAAATAGCTTCAGGGGAAAATATATCCTCTTCAGCTCATCTGTCATCGATGTAAGAAAGTAATCAATACTTCGAACTTAATACACCTTCTGTGTACCACTGTTCTATCTGGCGTGCTAGATGTGCAGACACATTACACTGATGGCAGGGCTTAAACTACTGTTTGCGATAGAAGATCTACAAGTTCTACAAGTCGACAAATCGAGATTGACGTGCTTCCACCAACATCCGTTAGTGAAAGAAATAATCGGGAAGGAAAGACCCAGTTCACGCTGCGGCGTGTCCGGCAACATACAGTAGAGATTGCTGAATTGCAGGAACTGATACAAGAATCGAGCAACAGATCCCTGTCAAGGCATACGCGATTGCACAGAATGGAAGAGCTTCTGGTTCTTTGGCAGAGAGAGCAGCCGTGCCTAGTCCGTGTGCACTGCACAGGGAACCAACAGTTCCATGCGTACGTCAGTTCAAAGAAGCTGAAAGGAAGGAACGAAAGAAGGAACGAAATCCTGACGAAGTTCGACGAGAACCGACTATGTTGCAGTTAGTACCTGGTGGCAGTTGCCATGCCCCTTGTGATCGGGTCACTGAAGCCTAATTTATCCATCAGAGCTTGACCGAAATTGGCTCCGATGAGCCCCGTTAAGACGACTACTGCTGCTGTGAGCGAAGGATTCCCCGCTGCATGACAAAGATTTAAGACAGAGGTTAAGATCTGTAGGACACATATCATCAGTAGAGTAGGGCTAACTTTGACACATTAATGTGAAGGAGCTATGAAAGGTAGTAACTGGCTGTACCTTCAAGAAGACCAGCAATAGGAAGAGCCAGAGCCACAGTGATACATCTTGGGACAACGGCCAGGGTAAGATTTGATGACAGTCCAATTAGTCTACCAGCAGCCGCCGTGGAGTACATAGAGAAAAGAGACGATGCAATAACCGCAGAAAATATCTCCGCGGCATGTCGCTTGACAAGCTAACCTCATATCATTTTTCGGTGTTGACAAATTTTGCACAAACGAGACCAAAATTGTAAACAGAAACTGGAATGTTAGAATATTGCTCTCATATATGGTTGTCTAATTAACATTAAACTCAAGATGGGATACTGTATTCGTATCAGATATGTTCATCTTGATTATGTAAAGCAAGCGTCCATAATACCTATTTATCTCAAATAATAAGAGACAAAATCAGTGAGGCTCTTACCACTCGCTGGCGGAACATGGAAAATGCGAACGAAAGGATCACTGATCCAAGAAAGCCCATATATATGTCTCCTGCTCCTGGATTTCCTGCCTGCTTTGTCATGTAATACTCTGCCATGGAGAGACAGACAGACAGACAAAGGCTAAAGTCAAGTATCTGACCACAAAACAATCCATAAAAGAAAAACAGAGATTTCTTTCGTTAAAGAGTAAGCGCAAGCACATATATTCCAGCAGCAGAAAAAACTCAGATTTGAAATTACTTAGTGCTCCTTCAAAGCCTACTCCAGTCACTTTGCCATAAATAAAAGCTGCCAAATCAGCGGTGACTGCGCAAGTGATAATTGGGTGGCAGATTTTCTTGAAATCTGCAGGAAGGCTGTTGACATTAACAGACGGTCGTCCAGAAGCAGTTAGTTCAGAATATGTCATAATTTCGATTCTTAGTAAAGCTCGCTAACCACAAATCTGCTTTAAGAAGGTCCACCTCCTCTCGAATTTCATCAAACATCAGCAGTTGCCATGAGATTAAAGCATGTTACCCAGCACATACTATAGAGGGAAACGCCTTACAGACAGACTGGTACAGACTGGCTCGCATCCTTACCTGGTGCCGAAGACGTAACCAAGAGCAGTCGCAGAGAGGAAATATGGAAGAGTTGTCATAGCAGGGGTGCCGAAAGCAGTTGGTTGCCAAACTGCAACAGCGAGGAAAACCACCGCTGCAGCGGCCAAAGCCTTAAATTCCACATCTGAAAAAGGTGGGGGCTTTGGGGTGTACTCGGCGGGCTGCACCACTGTCTTCACGATATTTCGCATCATCACAGTGGTATATCCTGCTACGGCAAGACTGGCCATCCAGCCAACAACTGCGCAACAAACAAGAAGAAAAGACGCCTCAGGCGATATAGACAACACCGACCGGAATCATGACCCGTCGAATCATTGATGTCCTTCATCTCTGTGTCGTACTTCAGAAGGATTTGGAATCTTGATTACTGAAATACCACGGGCTCGATTTTTCTCCCCAGCTACCAACCTTCGACTACGCAGACCACAGTGAAAGACATATGCAAAGTGTCTTCCACATTTCATTCTTTCACGGCACACATAAGACTGACTCTTTACACGCTCCTCCTTCGGACAGTCAGAATTCCTTACGAACTTCGAGACCGCTCCACCTCATAACCCACAGCTACAGGTTGGACGAAAGGAGCGTGTTTGACAATTAGTCTCCAACTGCGAGAGTCATTAGGTCTGAATTCTCAACTTCAATTTCCACTTCTACAGTTTGAACTTCCGGTGCATTGTTGAAAGAGTCGCCAATCCAGGACGATTGCAAAGAAAGGTCGAGAGACGATAGATATTGTGGAAGTACTTTCGTCACACGGTCCCTCTGTATTAATATGCCTTTTGCTGACTCTCAAGGAAGAAGCAGTATACTGAGAAATTGTGTGATGCCTAGCTCTAATGAACTTTAGCAGGGAGGGAAGGATTGAACAGATCTGCTTACGATGTACTTGGCATTTCAGGAGATGGCAAGAATCTTAACCTTATGCAAGAGATTCGAAGGTATGAGGGCATTACCAAAAACGAGAGTAATTTTTGCTGCAGCTGCTGTTGGGATGCCCTGTATGGCCAACGGGACGACGACGAGGGACGGAACGTAGAAAAGGGGAAGCCAACGCTGTATAAACATGATACCGGGCTGGAAGAAACTAATAAACGCAGCGGCAGCCTCCGGTTTTACCAGATCCGTGATAACCAATGAGGTGAAGATGCAGAACATCCCGAAAAGAGCACTGGGAAATTTAATTCCTGCCGTAACAAATGATTGTTTCAAAAACATATCTAGCGCCAGGAACAATCCAAGCGAAACAACCCATTGAAGAAGTCCCGCAGCCTACACAGCACAGGATAGTAAATGCTGAATTACGAGCTACTGATCATCCCGATTCTACGGCAAGTATTTTCGTTTGCAGCTGCCTAGTCCGAGGTACGCTAAGCCAGACTTAAGGAACTTCGACAATTGTAAAGTTGCGAAACCAAGAACCAAAGGGTGAGAATTGATAGAACAGATCAAATAAGTCTACTTTACAAGACAAATTGTCCGTGGCGAACGCAAATGAACAGCTACTCTTCAGCCAATTAAGGACATTTTACCTGTTGAAAGAGGGACTTTTCCGTGGAGCTTGGATCAGCATCAGCTGCCTGCACTAGCAATAAATTCGGCCTTTCCCTCTTCGTAATGTGGCTTCCAAACTCGATGTTAGGCGGACCAGAATTTCCAAGCGGTAATTCCGACCGAATTCCACATCGCAGAGCAACTTTTCCACTACGGTGATGTTTCTGGCTTCTCACCCGCAGTTCTGGCAAACCCGTTGCTCCCATGCCAATGAGGCTATTTCCCGTTAGTTGGCTCATCTGGCGACCGCGCAGAAACTCTCTGCAGCCAGAAACTCCTGGCAGCATTCTTGCCAACCCGCTCTGCATCTTTGAAATCTGTGGCTCAATCGAGGATTGCACAATTCCAGAAGAACAGGGTCTTCGCAGAGCAAGTGTAGACATCCCTGACATTTTATCCCTCTGATTTCCCTGCACTTTCCTTCGTTCCTCAGAGGCAGGAGGCGAAAGTGGAGCGAAGTATAGACGCTTCAAATGAAGTCGACGAATTTCAGAACCTTTCAATCATACTTTCAAATTTCTCCGTCTTCCTCCATCGCGGGAACGATCAGAGAAGGAGCCACATTCCCCTGCGCAGCTACCACATCTGTCCGAAAATCCACAACAAGGGGGGAGGAGAGAGGCAAGTGCGTCGTCAATTGGAGCCAGACACGCGACAACCAATCGCGGCTGAAGGCTCGACGGCATGGCTAAAGGAGCCGGAGCGGGCCACAATCTGGGCCACGGAAGGCATCCGCCATCGCTGGGACCGAATCTGTCAACCCAATCACAAGTCATCATTATTGCCCAATCAGTCCCTCGTTCGCCGCCATAGAAACTTTCGCTTTCCATCTCGTCCCTCGTTGCGCTATTTTGTCCGTCGCGCTGCGCGCGGGGCCATGCATTCAAGATCGTCGGCCTCGTCCTCATCTGGAATCGTGCTCTCGCCGCTTCTTCTTCGATCCGCTGCTTCCTCACTTCGCTCGACGACTATGGATGGCCGCCCGCCATGGACTTCCACCGCAATTTTCGCTGCAACAACTGGCAGGAGATTTTCGGTTTTTTCGGCCATCCCGTCAACTCAGAAGCTTATACTCTGTAGTAATGATTCCCGTGAAGTTAATTATAACCCATCAAATTCTCCATTGCTTAAGACTTTCAACGCAACTGGTAGTCTGGCAGGTGGGCAGATTTCTTGTGAACCTTCGAAGTCCAGACCTCATCATTACCATTTCAACAACAACCTTCTTCAACGAGAATCGTTCCTGTTGCCGTCCTCGTACATTTCTCATATCTGCCAATATCGGCACGAAATGGAAGACCATGTGAAAAGGAGGAGGGGGGAATATAAAAGGAAATAAATGGAGGGAGGGGGGCATATTTTTCCTTCGGTACATAGAGCATGATTAGAGGGAAAGAAAGAGAGAAGCATTTTTCTAAGACAAGGGCATAAGGAACATTGTCCTGAACATTTTCCATTGAACTCTGTGAACGCAAAGATCGTGAAGGCAGGGGATAGTTACTGTCGTGGCTTGAGGAAGTAGCAATGAGAAGGCCCAACAAGGATGACACCTGACGGTTATCCAGGGGCTAGGCCCCAGTAGTATCACATTGAGGCTTTGTATTCCACGTATTGTGCACGTGGGGGTAGTTGAGGACTCTATTTGTGTGCCCCACATGGTTCGAGTAATCGCAAACCTTTCGAGAACAGCTGCTACGACATTTGATCTGCAGCTTTCAGATCCTGCGATCTTCATTCAGGTTTACCTTAGTTTTTTATAGATACCTTTCAGTCCATGATCTACTCGAGAGCAGATGAACTACGCTGGTTCAATCGGGCATTTATTCTGGTAGATGTTGAGCATAATTTTCATAATGTTTCTCGAGGTATAACTTGCAAGAATATTTTTACTTAGCTACAACATATTTATCACGAAGCGGAGCTCCCATTTCTCTTCAATACCAAACATATACACCCTGAGCACAGGGAGTTTTCACTTTTGGATGGTAATGCCAGGATTAAAAAGGGTTCATGGTTTACAGGTACACAACGATAGTATTTATGATGAATTAGGTGATCATGAGAACTTAAATAATTTAATTCTATACTTTTTTCCCTAGAGAAAATAATTTAATTCTATACTTTTTTCCCTAGAGAAAGTATCTGTTCTTGACGACTACCTTTCACGTGTTAAGATTGTAAGCATTGTGTTTTTATTGTAAGTGCATGCAACAAATAAAGCAAAGATGAGTATACTCAAAGTGAGATTATATCATTGGGCTGAAGGATTCTGAACTATCTAGACGCAAGTCTCATACTGATGCATTGATCATAGTTATGTAAAGGATTAGTGTTATCAATACGCAAGCTTCCATTTGCTCTTGTTTGTTATTTTTTTCACATCTAATATATTCAAATATTCATGAAACATTACAAACTTGATTTGGAATGGTCTAGTCATAAACGACTAGTTTGCTCCTCTCTTACTGTAGACGTGTGAAAAATAGTGTGATATGTGATATTTGTGACCCTTACATACACATCGGCCTACATTCAGTACTCCTTACGTGGTCATGCAAGTGAGTCCAAACGTCAAAAAAACTAGCACTACATACTGTGGGCCGCAGAACGATCTCCTGGTTGACAACTGGCTCACTTCATGTGTGCAGATTGTCAAACGTTTCTTCCTCTCTGAAACTTCGCTGCGTAAGTCCGAGACAGGTGGTCAAACACATTTCCTTTTGGAAGTCCTCTGTCCGTTCATTCTGCAACTCGCGATTCAGAACTTTCTTGAAACTTCATTCATTCCCAAGCTGATCTTCTCGTTTCCTCTTAAAGCTTAATAAAATTACAAGCAAAATAGCATTAACCACCAGACGAAACGGAAACAGAAACGAAAGCGAAAAGTGTGACTGACTTCCCCCCTTGATACACTTCGAGTGCTACAAAAACGAAGACTATCTCATGCACAAAGGCGAGCCACCCTAGCGCAGCTCATGCACCCTACCCGAAATTAAACTCAGAAAGAAACCGATAGAAAAGCAATTCACTTGGAACAAATCAACAGATCGAGCTCATTACATCGCCAGATTATTTATGTCGTAGTGAACAGAATTTGAAACAGGTTTCAGATTAGAAATCCCTGCTGAAACCCCTGGCCTGTAAAGCTTCAAACTAAAACCACGGTCGCGTAAAGCTCTCCATAAGGACCCTCCTTTCAAGGTCCAATGATGGATGATATCCAACCGTGTCTACTGCTTCCACCCAGCTACCTAAAAGCTCCATACGGTATAGGCATAAACTGCATCTCATAACTACACGAAGAGCATTTCCCAACATTCGAATAGTCCACCTGCTTTGCTGAAGAGATTCTTCTGCAAAAACCCGCATCAGGTCCAGGAGACAAGTTGGAGGAGCAACCTCCCTTTGAGAAGAGAAACATTTCATCAACATCCTGCGAAGCCAAGCGGGTTCCACAACGACTCCTAGACTGGAGTGTTGCTTGATCATAACTTGTAGCCACATAGCATGGTCGCTTGATATCAACCTTGATGCGCATGACCATTGCAGTTAACTAGAACCAGAGCATACCAAGTATTTCCAACTCTGAAGCATTTGATACATCTGTAGCCTGCACTCTCTTCAGATTCTTCTCTCTACGGCAGTAGGTGATCCAAGCTCATAGAATTTGAGGGCAAAAGCCATCCGACAACAGGTGACAGCTGGGCTGGGTTAGAGGATCACCAGTTTCTCATCCACGCTCGCCGAAAGCACACTCAGTAATCATTCGGATTCCATTCCAGAGCAGCACCCCCTTAATCTATGTCGAATTTTCCCATGCTACATAAGATGAGGGTGAATGAGCCTTCACCCATGTGGGCCCGGGCGGGAATGTGAGCGTTGACCTTCTTTCCATCGGCGGTCTAAATTGGTATCATTGAGGACCAATTTGGGATAATTGCAGGCATCAGAGTCCTAGAAATGACTTCCAACCACAATGAACAGCTCCTTCGGAAGTTTCTCATGGCCCAGAAGTGTTTGCACACATAAGCGTGCACTTCTAGGATTAGCATTCAGACTGAGAAGTTCACCTGAGCAGAACCAAAACATTTATTAAGTTGCGGTCAGTCCCGATCAATCCAAAGAACTCTAAAGCGGAATTCTGATGTGTAACATTTCACAGCAACTCGTCGTGACCACCTTTTACAGACGTGCACTCTACTCAGAGCATGCCTTGAGAGTCCTTAAGAGTGTTGTTTCTTAAGAAAATGCTAGATTGACATTCAACAATTCTTTGCAAGAGTAGCAACCCTCTAACTCACGAGGAGATAAGAAAGGATGTTCATACCAGACGAGACATAGTAGTTTTACGACACAAAAGGATCCCGTGAATGGTACTGCCCATACCACTGTTGCTGCTGCTGCTGCTGTTGCTGCTGCTGTTGTTGTTGTTGCTGCTGCAACAAAAGAAGTTGATGCTGCTGAAGCTGGTATTGCTGTTGAGAATCATAATCGTACTGCTGAGCCCCATATGGAAGCTGTGGCTGATCGACTCGATAACCAAGCCTCTGGCTCTCGAAATGCTGCTGCTCTTGCTGCTGTTGCTGCTGTAACAGCTGCTCCAATAAGGTGTACTGTTGTCTTTGGTTGTCAATTTCTCTACGGTTGGATAGCTGTTCCTGCTGAGAAGCACCCATTCCCGGAAAAGGGTACACTGTAGCTGCCGTGGCTTTTCCGCCAGGGACTGGAGTGTTCATAGCTCCACTGGACCAGATACCGTAGTCTGAGCTATATAAAGAAGAACCCTGACCTTGATAGTAACCCGTCTGACCAATATTTCCCTTGTTAGAATAGTCATCGAGCCAACCATAGTCATCAACTGCATGATGCTCATCTCTCTCATTACCGCGTGAACTAGGAATTATCTTTGATACATTTTGCTGACTTTCGATTGCTCCACTCGAGGCAGTAGAGGAAGCTTTCGTGGGAAGTGGACCAAAACCAGGAGGAGGTCGCATCCCAGTCCTAGTCGCACTTGTTGGTGTATCTTTGGAGTTTTGCACGCTGTTTGTTGAAACGGCTGGGTTCGTTGATGCTCCATCATTGGCATTTGAGTACTTGTTCGCTGAAGCCAGCGACGACTTACTCAGCTCTGCCTCGGCGGAAGACTCTCTTTCTGCTGTCATTGTAGCAGACTGAGAATACGAACGTCCAATTGAACCATTTCGGCTGCTGTGCACATGCAAATCCCCACTAGAGAACATCCCGTTTGGGATAGTAGGAGCTTCCTTCACTGAAGCTTGAATCAAGCTATCTAAAGACATTGTTGAGTGTGGAAGGGTCCCCATCGCAGAAACTTGTGGACGATTATAATCTGAACTGCCAAGTGATAAACTTGTCAGTCCCGCTAAAGTTATACCATCCAGGTTAGTACTCCACAACGAGTTGCTTACGGCAGCTTGTTTTGGTTGTCCAATCACTCCAGCAAACTTCTCCGTACCGTTGCTGAAGATATTGGATTCAGACTGCACATCCCAGGATGTTGTTGGGCCGGAAGAAGACCCAGTTATACGGTTTAACCAGTCCTCTGCTGAGCTCGGTGGGAAACCATAAGTACCGTTCAGTCCTCCCAGTTCTTCAGTAGCCAAGGCATGGGTCCCTGGTAATCCAGACATGAACCCAGCCAAGGGCGAACTAGCAGTGCTCGAGGGGCTTGTTCCGACTGATACCGTGCTTGTGACGGAGGTTGTGGACACTGGGTCCGTTGAACCCAAATTCCGACTTGGCAGCAATGGAGTTTCCGTAACAAACTGCCTTCCACTTGCAGCAGTCGGAGTAGGTAGCAATGAAGATTCTGGCCTCATGTTGGAGGCAGTTGAAGTCGGCCGTTGGACGTCTAGAGGAGGCATCTGAAGAACTCCCGTGAGTACCCTCGAAACGTCTAGGTTCTCGGAGCCCAGGAAACCAGGTGCCACAGCAGCAGGCGTATCGACCTTCACGCTAGGAACTTGTACGGCAACGACATTCTTCCAGGTTTCCTCAGACGGAGAGACGTTGGTTTGAATCTCCTTCACCATCGGCTTAAAAACGATCAGTTCCTCATCTTCTTCCTCTCTTCGAAGAAAGGTACTTTCCGTTGAAAGAAGCGAATTATTAACTTCAAAGGACTCTTTTACCCGGCTGCCTCCTGACATACTTTCTTCATCCACAATCTCCTCTGGTAACGCCCTGCCATTGTCCTGCGCGCTAGGAGCATCCACATGAGTGTCCTTTTTCTCCCGCAACTCTCCAGCCAAGACGAACCTCTCTCCGTCGTCATCGTAATAGATGCCCTTTTCAGTACCCTCTAAAGCGCTAGCAATGGCTTTTCCAGCGGCCAACAATCTCTGGATACGGACCTCCCTTTCCCTTGTATCTCCTAATCCAACGCGTGGAGCGCGCTTGGAATAATCCAACGTGAGCTGCGCTGGAATGACAGGAACAAAGCCTCGGAGTTCGTAATCTTCCCACAATGCAACTCCACCGACACTTTCCTCATCTCCATATCCAATACCACCTGCCAGACCTCCCTCCAATCCACCTTCTCCGTGACGTTTGTTGACTTCAGAACAGCTGTTCAAGAGAGAAATGCTCTGTCTCCAGAAAAATGTTCGCGCATGAGCCTGTTTCTCATCAACGTCATTACCAGCAGCCATCTCTGGCCTGCATGCCAGCCATTCTAGGAATACCAACATTGCCGGAAGAAGCGGACTTTTTGACACTACTCTGGAATCTGCGCACCTGCGCATTAGGCGGCCAGCACATTCAAATGCGGCGGTAAAAGCATGCTGAAAAAGTGCAGAACGCTGCAATATTTCGGCATAAGTTGGATGATGTGAATCAGGACCCCAATTTATGTTATGCACAGTGAAGATAAGAATAGCGATCACTTGCAAAAACCCTGCAGCTCCACCGCTGCCTGTTCCAATACCACTTCGATGGTCTGCACCAAGCCCCGCTTCCAATATAGAGTCCTCGGGAGATAACAGTTCTTCAAGCTCTCGAACAGTGGCCGAGTACACTTCAGAAAAAGTCTCTAGACTGCCAAGAAACAAGACAACTACCAATTTCAGTCTTCCCTTTCTTGCGAGCTAGAGTCAAACTTAAACTTGTATGTGATGAAGAAACTAAAGCGCGTTCAAGTTGATAGAACCCTCCGAAGAGTACTGCAAAAGCAGGAAGTACGCCTCATAGATACCCAAAGAAGACCCTTTGGGTACTGCGAAGACCCAAGCAGAACCGAATGCAAGCATGGTGACTAAAACTTCATCCTGTGAATAACTCACAGGCAAGGAGCAGGCCATACTAATCTCAAAATAGAAGAGGTTACTGAATTGCGTCCTACTGCTTTTCCTACACAGATAGGAGAACTCGTACACAGTACCTTGTCTTCGTGAAGAGAATTCCATTCAGTCGAACAAAGCGAAGGCGAAAGCGCTTGCGCATTTCTCCGATTTCTACGCCTTCAAGTTGATGATCTTTCACCGCAAGCTTCAGCGCTCCATCACCGACTGGTACGATTCGATCTCCTCTGCTTGCTTTTGGCTTGGCAGAAGTTTTGTTGGAGTCCACTTTCCCGCCAGTCGCAGACTCGTGATATGGAAGTTGAGCATAATGATTTCGATTCTGCAAAACCACATTCACATGTAAGAAATGGATCACCGAGACAAGACCTATGATGAGAATATTGACACGTGATCAATTTTACCTGTGCATTTCTCCAAGCTCAAAACGACTGCATGATTGAAAAGGTTTACAACTTAATCACAGAAGCAGATGGTGGATGGCAGCAGCAGAAGCAGATGGATTGACATGCAGTCTGTGCAAACATCCAGTGTCTTCCAAGACCAAGTTGCAAGAAACCTTCTTTGAACGTGGTAGTTCAACAGCCTCTTTAATTCCGACGGATCACATTTGAGATAATATCTAAGCAGACGGGTGGCTAATCGATTATGGCTTGCAAAATAAAGACACCAATTTTTTTACTTCTTTGGGATATACAATAATTTAGTTCTTCCCCAGGCAGTTATAGCAAGGCAAACGGACTAGCTTTTTTATAAGCCCTGTATAAGTACCCAACGGTCTGAAAAATCTTGAAATGTAAACACAAGTTGCACCAGCCTCTCCGCAGTACTTTCACTTCAAGAGCATCTTATTCGTAGCTGAACCATAATGAGACTGTTCTTTAGGTAAAAGAAGACTCTGTTCGAATCAAGTAAGAACACGGAACCATGACTCCAAAGTTAGGTGTAACTCGCAGAGCTCTTGTAAACGTGTCCTGCTTTCGAAAGGGGAAAAGGAAACCCTACCGAAGTTTATGCGAGCAGACTCACAGCGATGAAATAGAGACCAAACTCTACTACTATCTATAATTAGGAACTGAAGGCTCATAGAATGACTGGCAGTTTCAAAAAGCTTTGTTCATATGCAAAGAGCTGAAGCATAGAACAAGGCGCATACCTTTTCAAAGAGAATAATCAGGTTGTCTCTTGCAGTAAGAAACGGACTCTCGACTGCAAGGCTGCGAAAATAACGATACACTGCTAGCAGCTCATCATTCACATAGGTTGCCAGCACCGCTAGCTGCAGAAATCAAGATTACACCGGAGGCAGCGTTAGTCAAAGAACGTGGATGTGGCAACATCTTCTTTATCCTACTTAGTCTGGAAAGCCTTATCTCAAATTCTAGTGTGGGCTTCCTAAATTTGATAGTTTCCTGTCTCAATTTCTGAAAACATTACTCTCGTAGTCATAAACTGTAACATCTCACAACATTTATCCTCACAAATATTCACGACAGTGTACCTGGTTGTGTGGGTTGCCGCTCGATGGCCACAGAGAAATCGCCTGCTGGTAGTACCCAGCTGCAACAGACCAGTCCCGACTACGCACGTCTGCATCTCCATGCGATTCCTTGTACCTTGCAAGGTCTCCCAAAAAGATCAAACAGCGATGACATGATTGATCACAACTCTTCAGTTCCGCCGTCCGCCTCTCATCCCTTAAGACACCACCCTGCTCCACCTCGAACGGAGAGTAGTCCTGCGGTAGTCCGTGCTTTGCTCTGAGCTTTAGGATCAGGTTGTGATAAAATCCAGTCGCTTCAGCTAGAAAGCTTTTGAACACGGCAAGAATTTTGACAGGCGAATCTCTCCGTGAAGATACTTTAGCTCCTGGCATTGGAATCGCAGGAGCTGAAGCTGCGGCAGCAGCGGTCGCTGTGCTCTTGCGAATCCGAGCCCTAAACTCTTCAATGCATTTATATTGCAATCGCCAGATTGATTGCTCAACTTCTTGGGACTCAGCGAACTCATGATCTTCCAGGATAACGGCCTCATAGCTCTCACAAATCCGATTACGGAGTGCCCTCACACTGGGATCAAACGGCCCCTTCCCTTGAAGCAAAGTTCTTAGCTGTTTTTCAAGCTCAAGAGCCTGCAAAGTAATGTCATACGCCAAACACAATGAATCCATCAGCGTCACGTAGAAAAGGATATCAAAATCCGGGCAGACAGTTGAAGAACAAGGAAAATAAAAGCTAGACAAACGCTCGTGTAAAAGCGTACATGTTGCCGCAAGTGAGGCAAACGGCTCTTTCTAGACTCCAACGGCCAGTGAGACAAACCATTCCAGTGACGCAATCTACAAAGAGATTTTCTTCAGAAAACAAAGTTTGAAGAACTGAAACCAGTATCAAAATCTATAGCGCGACCTGCCTAAAAAACAACACGGACACTTCGGCAGATTTCGCATCAGAAGGAGAAAGGCATCAAAAGTTTTTGGACTGTTTAGACTTAGACATTCTAGATCTTGATATCACTTCAAGGCGCTGAGACCTCAACTCATACATAGATAGGTCATTTCAGCGAGAGGGCTGAAAGTGAGATTCTCTAAGAAGCAATGGCTCTATCATCCATGTTAGTGTGCTCAACCTAGTCATCATAATGAACGAAACACGCGGTTTATGCCATTACTTAGCAGGCATAAACTGAAAGGCTCCCTACGGCGAGGAAGAGAAGCAATCATGGGCTGGCAAGAATAAGATATGTAGCTAATCCCGCGATAGCTAAGACCGAGCCTAAGAGAGCATCAAAACGTAATGAAAAGGACTGGAGATGGTAGCAAAGGTGCCAATCTCGCGAAGAGATAACACCTAAACCAAGCGGGCGCAGGACAGGGTCATACGGAGCAACGACATTATGCATCATCCACCAAAATGACGAGCGAACCCTGAGGAAGCGATGCAAAACAGACGTAAACGTCTCACGAGTCTCATCAAGGGCAGGTGGATAACCTGATTGTAACGTTGCTGAGCCAGGGCTCGAGAAGTTGCAGCAGCAGAGGTGGGGTTACTTGGCAGGGTCATCCTCCATCGCTCATCAACCTCGCATCTTTGTTCTTCTCAAAATCGTCGTCTTCTTCCTACTCTTCCTCGAGTGGCCACGGTCCGTCTCCTCTTTTGCACACACTATTCTTCGCGAAACTATCTCTCTTTCTTGTCTACTTATCTCCTCCCTATATCCTTAACCGCAACTACCAAGTCTCCTGCTCCTGCCCTCCTCCTCTTCTCACACCTCCACCACCAGACCACCAAAATCCTCGAGTCTTCCTCCTCACCTGGCGCCACTCTCCTACAAAATCTGCTCCGTCTCTCACACGCTCGCTCGCTCGCCCTCCCTCTCTCTATTCCTCGACCTCCTCCTCCTCTGCGCCTCAAAACCTCGCCCCGCTGTCGAGGTCCCTCGCTTTCCCTTGCTTCCTTCCTCTGGATCCGCCCTTTACCTAAAATCTTTATGACACCAGCACCATGTGTACTTATCACCTTCACCCCTCGTCTCTTTCTCTCTCTCTGTCTCTCTCCCCACTGCCTGTCCCCTCTTTCGTCCTCGCTCTCGCCCTCGTCTACGCGCCCGTCGACCTTCCTGCCTGCCTTCCTTCCTTCCTTCTGCCTGGCTTCCTTTTCCTGCTGCTCGCAAGCTCTCACTTGCTTCGTGCGTCCCTCGCTCGCTAGTGGCCGGCGAAATCGACCTCCCTTTTTTCACAAGAAAACGAGTGACAAATAATACTTCGCACCAGGCCTCCTCATGTGGACGACGACAACACACTCACTGGCCGGGCCGCTCTTCATCATCAGATACTACTCCAGGCTGCCCGAGCTCTGCCCTGCCCTGCCCGGGAATCTGTCGCTGCCCCGCCCTGCCCCGCTCTTATGCTCTGCCCTCCTCCTTCGTCGAGGAACTCATTTTCCGCAAACTCTGCTGCCCCTGTCGCCGCACCGTTGCCCTCGCGGACGACACCGCCGCGCGGTTGCTCGGTCCTCCACCGCACGCACGCCTGCCTTTGCGTGCCACCTCGGTTCGCCCCTTTTGCCAGGCCCGCCAGCCCTGCGGCCACTTCTGCTGCTACGTCGTTAACGGAATTTCCTCGAGACCGTTGGATCACAAGTCTCAGAGTCGGTACTGCCCGGTCCGTCGCAACCCCGCCTCCTTTGTGGGGCCACGTCTTCCATATCTGCGTCAAACCATCAAAATTTAGTCAATATCTGCTGCCGTGAGGACATTCTGACGGCTGGAGTTCGGGTTGTCCGTCGGTTCTAATTCGATCCTGGGTTTCAATCTCGAGAACAGTGTTAACTTCTCTGTTCGACGGACTGCCAATATTTGATGGACTATTCTTTACGAGGTCGCATCCACATGCCCACTAAAAAAATCGCTGTCGAGCGCAGTTCTGTTCGATGGAATGAGCGCCGATGTACCAGCAGCGAATCGGAACGTGATCTGGTGGGGAATGTTCTGCATTCGGGGTGAGCCAGACCTGTTCCGTAATGTAGTTGTATCCAACTATAGGTTGTTTAAAGCACCTGGATTGCTCTGGAGGGAACGATACGTCTCTTGCTGCATGTACTTGGAGCCGAGAACTTCATAAGATGAAACTGAGCATTTCTTTGTCCAGCTTCTACTTTATCATAAATGAGCAGATATTGTACATCACCATGCACTCCGAACTTCCTTAAAAAGGGGCTGCCCCGAGAAGAACAGTACCTCAAGCCAAGTACCATGACTTATTCAGGAGGGCAGTCTACGGAATAATATGCTTAAAAAAATTTGTTTCTATCGGTGTGTCTAAATTTTGAAAAATATCCCAATAAGTAGATGAGATGCTCGAGGTCAAGTTTTGGTAGCTTACGCATAAAAATCTCCTTCAGGACCTTCAAGTTTCTTGCTTTGACTTTCTCTGAGTTTTGAATATTCTTTTGAGGGTTGATATGGTTGAACATAAATCGGCAGATTATAAATCATGATTGAAAAAGCACCACATTGCGTTAATCATATCTGCCTCTAATCCAATTTTCACCTTGTTGCATATCAAAAATAGCGAATTCAAGAAAGTGCAAATATGATACTGGTCACCTTGTCACTTGGTTTGAGGATCTGTGAAGAGGCTTTATACTAATATTTGAACTCTTCATGGTTCTTGTTAGACTAAAACTGAATAGTTAGCAGTGCTAATGATATTACAGAGACCTGTATCTTTACTCGTATCCTAGAGATCAAATTCAACTTCTAACAAGTAAGGTGAATTAATGTAATAAACGAAAATGGACGGGGAGAATATATTAGATGATACATGGATGAAGTCTACCAAAGTAGAAAGATGGACTGACTCACGTTCTCAAGCTTCTCATAAAACTATGAGAATTATGAGTTATCACGTTCACTTGCCTGTTACACATACCATCCAGTGTGAATATACTTCATAGCCCAAGATTTTGAAAGTTCAAGTAGTTTGATAGGAAGACAACACGATTGTTGGGAAAGCAAGTAGAATATAGCTCGATTGGGATTTTCACGTCTTTTGGTTGAATTGATTATTTGGTCTTGAGTTTTTTTCTAGGCTTTATATGAACTGATTCAACTCGGTCAATGACACATGTATAGTTCTCAATAAATTTTATCTACGACCATCACAACTATCACGAGTTTCATATCGACATCTTAATTACTAAGGTATCCACATGTACACAAGGGTGTGTACATGATAAGAAGGTTATAGAAGATACGGTGATTATATTGGTTTTGCCTTCAGGTTAGGGTCCAGAAGTAGATTAAAGTTTTTAAATTGAACTATCTGTATTGTGGTTGTAAAATAATAACGAGTTTCATCATATAAAGTTATTTCAAACTAGTCAAGTTCAGACGAAAGTTTGATTTGGAACCGTTTGAAAGTACAGTTTTTCCAGCCTTCGGCAATTCTTTCGTAAAGCCCAATTGATCTCATTCGGACCCAAAAGCTTGGCATCGCTGAGCTGTTTCAATATATAAAGACCTTGTTTTGGCCAACAAAAAAATACAAAGCGGATGCCTACCGAGCAAATTATCTATCTCATTTCTCAAGATGGAGGAAGATTGAATTTTCACATGATGACATCACAGCTTAGTACAGTTCTATAAATAACATGTATTTAGTGAAATATTTTATAAAAAGTATCAAGTTATATTGATCATTTTATAAATATCATAAATTGGAATTATTTTTCTACTTTTGAAACACTTTACTCCTTTTGGAAAACACTTTTACTTACATATATGTATGTAACAATTCTGTGAAAAAAACTTATATTAAAGAATAATTAAATTGAGTAAGTAATTTCATCATATCTAAATCATTTTATATTAATTTTAAATTCAAGCAATTATTACACTAGAACCTAGCAAAATTATTGATTCAATGCTAATTCAGATTGAAATCAATGAAATTTAATGATAAATTAATTTATGTGATTAAGTTTTTTATATGGAGGTATTATTCTAATTTATTTTTTTGATTTGATGTCAACATATATCATATGGCTAAGAAAGTCGATTCGTTTATATTGAAGATGTGTACTTTAATATACATATGCATAATTTGCAGACATCAAATTATTATGTATGATAGGATTTATCAATGATTTATATAAGCAGCCTTTTATATACAAATTTAAACTATGAATATGTAAGACGATTGATTTCAAATTCATTTAAATTGAAGGTTTTTTGTATGACGTTTTCAAAAATCTGATAATACTTGGCATGATGCTTTTGAGAAGATTTTTTTCAATATGTGATAATTATCACTGTATCATCTACTAAGTAGTGGTTATTTTTTGTTAATAAATAAACAAATATTTTATTTTATATATTTCTATAAATCTATGTTAAAATTTATTAAAAAATCAATCCTAGAAATGAAATAAAAATTAAAAATTATTTTCGTATTTTTGTTGATATAAAAATGATTCGGAAAAAATTGCATATTTTGCATATATAACATAACTATATAAAAAGAAAAATGTTAGTGTATGATAATTATTTAATTATAAAAAACATAATATTATTGCAATTGTTATTTTTTCCAAATTTCTTTTAATATCAAAAGTATAAAAATTATGTATACAAATCGAGTTAATATCATGTTAATGTTTAGACACAAAGTGTTGTTGCTCAATGCATGATTTAGATTTACAATATCTAATCAGTGAGTGTCACAAATTTTTTAAAGAAAAGCATCAATACATAATATTAAGGAAATAAACATTATATTATTTGTACCATATAACAATATTTGTTATCAGATTTATGATACTATTGACTCAATGATGATTGTATTTTACTGATTAAATTAGTTTACATTACAGGTTCTATGAAGTTGAATTTTCTATATGAAAGATATAGCAAATTTTTAAAACTATACAATCATACATAATCATATCAACATTAGTCTATATATCACATTGACATGACCATCAAACAATCATGGGAAAAAAACTTCCCATATTTGTCTTATTTTTCAATTTCACAACAAATCATGTGACACTAGAATTTTTAAGCATTTTGAATTTTGATAAATTTTATAATTGTGTAAAATTGCAATATTTTACATATGAATTATCAAATACACCTCACAATCGAATTATTGCTTAAAATATAGATTATGTGCAAATACATGCACTAATTTAATTTCAATAAGTAATTTATATTTATGATAATACAATAATCACAATCTACATAAAAAATCATGAAAATATTAAAAATAATAATTTATGTTGATTTTATTTGATTTTATAAAATAAAATAAATTATAAATAAATAATAATTTATATATAAATATTTATAATATTAATTAACCATCATTTGAATATATATTAACAAACCAAATAACTTCAAATAAATAAATAAAAATATTATTTTTAATGAAATTTTATAAAAATTATGGATTAAAATTTATAAGATTAAATTTGTGTAAATAATACTCTATTCTAAAATTAGGATAAAAAAATAGAAATAAAATATTGAAATATACGGGTTTTTTTTTACAATTTCACCTTTAAAACATGTTTAGTGTTGAAAAAATGAATAAATTACTGTAATTAATTCATGTGATTATAATTTTTTTTAATATGTTAAAAAAATATACAAAAAATCACAAAAATACAAACTTAAGAACTACTTACATTAAAAAAACAGAGAATGCATTTTATGAAATTATTCGTCATAATCTATGATAATAATATCATTTCTAGAAAAAAATAATCATATAGCTCAATGAAAAAAATGATGTTTTGATACACAATAAAAAATTAATACATTTTTCCTTTTGAAAAGAGAAAAAAATGTAAGAAATCAAAGCTTTTATAAGTTTCATCTGAACTAGGTTTACAAATTTGAGATTGAAATATGATACTTCGATTGATAATTACTAGAAGTATAGTTTACAAACAAATTACATGAAAATATTTGTATATAATGAGGAAATAAATAATCTAATCTTCAATCAATTATCATTGAAACTGAAAGTTTCATTAACAACAATATATGACTTTAAAAAGTCTGAAATGGACTAACTTTTTCAACTCATGGGAATGATATTGTTGTTCCAAAATCCACCTCATAATACTGTTAATCAAAACAACTTCATGAATAATAATTTTGGCTTGTTTAGATCAGGAGATTAGATTTCTTATGGCATGAAAACAAAGTGACAGTAACAATGACCAGACATTATGAATAATACATGTGAGACAACAAATTAAAAATTATGTAAAAAAAACAGCTATAAAGCTATTGCTTTGAAACTGTTATGGTATTTTCCGCTTTTCTGAAAAAATATATAAGTGCTCATTATTTGGTATGAGTGGATCATCAAGAAAAGATTCATTATGAACTTTGTGACTTGTTTCGTTGTTATTGTATATATATAAAAAACAGGAGTTGCAAGTATAAATATATCTTTGAGCTTGGGGCAATGACACAGTTAGTGAGGTGAAACCGAGACGCGTCAATTGCTGGTTGAAAACTATTTCCAAATTATTTATGATACTAATACAATAGATTTTTGTAAAATTATGACATGAACAACTCTTTTCATAAGCATGCGCTTTTAAAAAAATACAAATTTATTTTAAATTTGTATTTTTTTTACTCAAATTAGAAGTCTGAGTATTATCAATGAAAAATGAACGAGTTTGACATAAATTTTTCTTAAATAACTTTCACTTATAATAATGTATGTTTTGGCACAAATAATCTATAACATGGTTTGATATTATTTCACTTACATTGTTGATTACATTTATCATATTGCTGATTAATGCAATCGTGATGAAAATTTAAAGATGAAAATTTATAATTTAAAAAAAGCATAATATATAATTCCACAACAGTTTAGAGTGGTATATGTTGATTTTCAAAAAAAATAGAACTCAACTTTAAACCATGAGCATTTGACTATGTTATGCATGGTGTTAGCATGATAATGAAATCGAATAAGAATAAAATACACTTATACGGAGTATGTTATGATAATAAATTTATTGTAACCTGATGAGAAGATGATTTCGAACTTATTTCAAAATTTCCAAGTTCTCATGGATGACATTGGATTATTTCTGCACTTTTAATGGAAAATTTGATCTAATTACAATATCTAAAATCTAATTGTAAAATCTAATTTCAGTATCACGTGGAAATTGATCTTCATGTGAGACACATAAAAATTAGTTTCCTGCATGGATAGATGCCATTGTTTGTGATGCGTGTAAAATAAATAATATATATAAAAACACAAAAGATAAGGTGCGTTGTCCTGGCGTGGACCATGTCTCCCAAAATTGACGAATCAGTACATACGGCCTATCATGATTTCACATATGGAGGTGGAAATGGGATCGGGTGTTTTCACATCTTACCGGCTCTCAACATTTTTTCTCTTGAAATTGTCAAAAGAAAAATCAAAAGAAATTCACCAATGACTGTCATTTCATATCTCATGCATACAAGGTATAGTGCCAATCTGCTTATTTATCAGATAGGCTGGATTCGTAGATTTTGAGTATGTTATTCTTGGATGTACAAATGTATGATAATGAGTGTATGGTGTGTTTCCAAACTAGAAGTTAAAAATTGTCGATATCTATAGTGTTTTTTTCTCTATGTCGCGATAAGAGATAGTATTGTGGATTCAACGCAGTATACATATACTGCAGTGGATCCAGAATTCACTTAGCAAAATTCATTTATTAAAAATTTGTCACGTGAAATGTAGGCAATCCCAACAACTGTATATTAAAGCTGAAAGCTGAGTTGTCCGAGAATGAACGTGTCACTGGACTGGTGGAGCACCTACCCCCCTTCATGATGGATTCTACGGTTTTGAGGGACACAACAAATAGTAGCCAATAAGTAGCTCTGAATATTCATGTAACAAAACTAAGTCATCGCCGTTCCGCAAAGTGACTCACATCTTTTGGATTTTATTTTGTTTATCCAAGAGATCAGACGCAAAAGTTGTGAATAGGTTCGTGTGATTTACGATAGAGGTGGTTATATATACCACAAGATGCGAAGTAGGTTGAAAGTCAAGGTTTTGTGTGAGAGAGAGACTGCATGACAAAAACTATATGATACTAAAAGATATCCAAAGTAATGATATCTAAAGCAAGTTTGGTGTACAACTTCTATCATATCATACATTACAATATAAGATAGAGACGTCGGCCTAAAAACCTTTTGATCTGATTCGAGAAACCGATACTCCAAACCAGCATCTTCCTTTTTTCAACTATTCAGTAGTTCGCAAATATGAACGAGCGGCCGAATCAGTGGCATGTTTGCGCGTCGTTGTTCATCGAGCAAGATCGGGGCCGTCGTCTAGGCAAGCTGCCAATCAGAACGTAAGCGCCCAAGCGCCGAGAGCAGCGACCAGACACTCATCGTCGCGAAAGAGAAGGCGGCCCAGATTCCTTACCACGTAAACAGCTTACTCGGTAAAGTCAGTTCAGTTGGCTTTCGCGTTTACGCGATCCCGTCTCCGGAGTTGTCACCCGACCGGCGATCCTCGTCATCCACGTGTGACGACGCCGTCGACAACCTCGATAGACGACAGACGCGTGGGACGACCGTTGCGACACTCCGGCGCCGGGCGAGTGTGCTATGAGAACCGGCGACGTCGCGCGCGCCCGAGAGGAATACCCTCGTGAGTCGAACGAACGGAACGAACGGCAACGGGGAACAGCTGGACCGGCCAGCCGCGGGCACCGGCGCGACCGTCAGCCAAGACGAGGACGGACCGACGGGTGAGGAGGGCGGCGAGTCCATGTGGCGCTACGAGTTTCTTTGCCCGGCCTGGTACTACGAGCGAGCGTCGAGGGAATCACGGTGGCAGCAGCCAAGGATCTGGATCCGCCAGAGATAAGGACCGTCCGGAGGATCTTGCCCTTAAACAGCGGAATTCGGAGCCTTGTCCGAATGGTGTTTTCAAATGTTGCCGGTGCGGTGCCTCTCGAGCGAGCGTAGGTGGTCGCCGGGGAGGCAGACGCAGAGCGAGAGGGAGCATTCATTCTCTCGGAGGCACGCACGAAAAGAATCAGCTCCGAGTGCTCGGATTTCAGTTCGTTCCCGAGGCTCGGCCTGGCCCTCTGCTGCTGGCATAGCGAGCCCTGGGCGGCTTGCGAGTGCTCGGCAGTTGTTAGAGGTTTCCACTGTATTTGTCCGTCGAGAGGAGGAGGAGGAAGGCGAGCTGAGCAAGTGGAAGTGGCAAGAGGAGGGAGGGGCTGCTCCGGGAGGGAGGTTGGTGGAAGAACGTGGAGTGGATTTATTAGGCTCGCATTGAAGGAAAGGAGAGAATTGTTGTAGTAGTGCTGCGCTTGATGGGGCGTGGCTAACTTTCGGACTCGGCAGTGCTGCTGGGTGGAGAGGGAGAGGGAGAGGGAGCACCGGAGGGGAGAGGAGGGACGGGGAAGGAGTAGTACATAGTTGCGCGTTTCTGCAGAGGTTTCGATCGTGTAACACCTGACATGCTTTTGCAGGGTTTTGCCCCGCACTGGTTGATCGTCGTTGAGCTTCGCTGCAGCGGCGTTTAAGCTGTCGGGAGCGGAGCTGGTTCTGGGGATTCGGTGAGAAGAACACCTGGCAATACGTCTGAAAAAGGATTGGAGTTGACGTGCAGAAAAGATTTTGACTCGTGACAGGTAGATTACTTGCAATTTCTTTGAGAGTCGGTGTTTGGTTGTGTAGAAATCGGATCACAACGGAGGAGCTATTTAGCTTACTTCAGAGCGGGCACCTTACACTCTCGATTGCCATCTGTGGTCGCTTGCGATCGCCCTGGTCGATGTCAGGTTGTAGTTGCTAGGTGGTTCTTATGGTTCTAGTAATAAGCGCGTGGATGGTAGGCTCTAACCTTGAAGTTCGGCGAAGTTTCCGAAGTCCGCTGTCGGACTTGTAATGAACATCACGCATACATTCACAGCGAAGGATCTCAACCTCAAGCTGTGAAAGCCTATTCCACAGTATTGTTTCCACGTACCTGCAGCTGGAAGAAAATTTGGGGTGTTAATAACATCAGTGTGAAATATTTTACAAGATGGTTCAGCGATATTAGTCATTCTCTGGATGCGCCTCGTTATCGTTCTTTACCATGTGACTAACTCCAGGAGCAGCCGTTAGTTCGTAGTTATTTCAGATCTGGAGTCGGGAACTGCAGATGGAAGTATGGTAAAATGTTCAAAATTTTGATTGAAGATTTCAGGAACCTATTCTCTTGCTGTCCATTGAACACTAGGAGCTTGCTTTATGTTTCGTATCCTGCATATAATAAAATGTAGACCGGTTCCTGCCGATGGTCTCCTAGCATGACACTAAAATGGATATAGTGAGTGTACTAAATTTGAATCTGTATAGTGTAGGGAGTTCTCGGTCTGCGATTGAACTTCATAACCACGTGACCGCTTAGTCTTTGTGTTTCCTCGCAGCAAGGCGTATTAGACGTGCAATGCGGTTCTGTCATGTTTAGAGGCTTTCGCATTCCACCGCTCGATGTAAGATGAAGATGTCCTTGGCTCTCCTTGTTCAATTTCTTGGGTGATTGTTTGAGTAGTTTAGAGATATATGGTGGTAGTGATTTTGTGTTTCCTACAATTACGCAAACATGTAGAATTACCGTTGAGTGATAGGTACTACCTGTCACCCGCTGCCAGGTCTACTGGTTGTCATACCCTCTAATCTTGAAATATCGCCATAATCTATTTTCGCTGGTATGAACATAGTATCTCACGTGGAGACGCTTGTACTTGTTAAATGACATCTTTTTTCCTTTTATCCAGAGTCTCTTATTGTTTACAACAGTGATCGTCATATCATATGGTTCAGATTGGGCACCTGATTGGCCGCTCGAGGCTGTTTCTTAAGATTCCCTACGAATATAAGGTATCCCGAAGATTTCGGCCGAACTATTTGTCAGCTTTGTAATTACGGGAAAGGCCTGGCTCTTTTGCAAAATTGACGAAAAACCGATCGAAGGTGAGTCCATATCTATGTTAGCAAGTGAGTTGATCCGACGAACTACGACTAGAAGACCTTGTCTGTGTATGGATCCATGAAGTCTCGGTTTTGAACTTATCAAGAACTTGGACTTAAAGTTGAGGTCCCACTTAACAGTCTTAAAGCATAGCTTTCATCCCTTAATTCTCGTCTTTGAGTATGAGGTCACCAGTGGAACCTTCTAGTTTCGATTAACGAGATAGAAGCCCATGTCCGCCTTTCTTTGTCGGAGGGAGGTGATGATGTTGTTGTGAGACAAAAGTGTTTCATGGATGGTGTAGATGATAATAAGTTAGAATGAGTAACATCTCAGGTGCGCAACCTAGCTCTTAATAGGTCTTCTCACACTTCTTTCAGGTACTTATACCTTAATCCTGCTTACTATTCTTCACTTTAAGACAGGAAGGCTTGGTCTGTTCATAATTTATGTTCACACAAACCAAGTTCTCTGATTTGCAAAACCAATTATTATGGTGTTGGTTTGGCGGATGTTCGATTGTTCGTCAAGAGTTCATGTTTGAAATTCCTTTTCTATTCTACTATGTGCTTTCTAGATCACTTAATATACATCTACAACTTACTATGCTCATTATTTGCCTTATCATTATTTGTTCTCCACTTCCGTAATTCGATTCAATGGTCTTCACTAATTTGTTTTGAATCACACACGCCTCGATAATAGAAGTCAGTGCTTTTGCTTTCAGTACTGATACTTCACGTGCCAGATTCCAAAATCTTTTTCTTTTGTCTCCAAGGTATCGTGACATCTAGTATTTTGACGACATTTATATCATCACTGTCCACTGCATATTCCATATGGCTGAGAAACTGATAATCGATCCAAGAGCAATCTTGTGTCGATTATCTCATTAGGAATTGTACTAAATCCTGATAAAATACAAACTGAAAGTTTCTGATTGTATGTAAGTCGGATGAGAATCTGAACTCCATCTGACCACATCCTTGATCAAGGTTTGCAGGGTGTTCTTGCGTGCTGACCCCATCTTTTCTGGACTGGACAATAGAAAATTTTATTATTTGGTTCATACTTGTGCCCTTGTTTTCGAGAACATTTTTTCAATGTTTCATGATTATCTTGAGATCTTCTGTCGGACAGTATGGCACTTCTAATGTAAGCCTCCACCCTTCTTTTGCAGCTTATGACTTACTCGAATATGCGCCATTTAGGTGATGCCGGAAGTGACCAGGTCATCACAGCAATTTGCCTCTGGAGATTCTGACAAGGCAAAGGAGCCAATCTAAGTTCGTCGAAATTTTGGAATCCACAATGTCAAGCTGAGAATGATCCCGTTAGCTGTATGATCTCGCATCTTTTTGCTATACTCAAAGCCTTGATCATCACCCTGTTACTTTCGGTGGTACTCCAGTTCAGTCGGAGGAATTTAGATTTGTCTGCGACTAAACTGGAAATTTTCACGTCATGGCCTCTAAGAGAAGGAATCCTAGCAAGGATGGGCTGACACTTACGAAAACAGCCCCTACTTTGAAATTTTGGGACGATTGTGCTGATCCGGAGGATATACAAGCATTGTGGGCTCACCAAGCCGTGAACAAAGAGTGGACGGCCGCAGGGGAGAAACCAGGGCAGAAAGTACATATGTCACGGACATTTGAAGGCCCAGCATGTATTACAGAGACTGAAATGAGGGTGAGTTTTGAACTTAACCCATGGAATCCAGAGAAGGGTCCATCTTGAGTACTAGGAAAAGAAGACTGAGTGGAGAGTGCTACACAGCGTCATAGATGCAAGGATTTGTGAACTTAACGCGTTGTCGTATGTTGTCAACACGAGCTTTCCTTTGAGTCAGTGTAGAACGTCGAATGGAACTGTCTTCGAATGGATAGAACATATACCAGCAGTCTGGTTTTTATATACTAGGAGGAACTAGGATTGGTCGTGGATTTTTGAAAGGTGAGTCTTCCATGTCCATTTCATGTTGTCTGGTAGTTGCTTCGATTTCTTGCTGATTACTTGGCCGTCCTTTCTCACGTTTCTCGCCAGGTGTTACTAGTGCATGTAGTTATTAGTGCATGTAGATCCCATAAGTTCATCGACTTTGGCAGTTTTGAGATTGTTTCTGCAGTATTTTTATCATAAGGAATCGACCATACGCTTCTACTTTTTTTTCAGTTCCTGTTACTGTCCATTTGTGCTCATCCCAAAGCGAATATCGGGGACTCTCAGATGCCTCTCGTTGATGAAATAATTGTGACTTGATGCAGGCTATAGCGGAGATAATCATTGGACGTTTTTTTACGAAAATTGACCCTGTAAGTAATGCTTTCAACAGCCTCTGAATAAATTTATTTCATGTAGAAGTCCCATGATTGGTTGTAAGGCTCGGCTGATGATGCATTGAATAAGCCCGTGCGAGTCATGAAGGATACCCTATGTTAGCTCCCTGCCAGGCATGATGCTCAGTGATTGCAAGATTCGGCCAGCTTCGGTTGAATATTAGGCAAGATTAAATATTCTAATTGCCGTTATGCCTTTTCAACATTTTAACATGGATGCCTACCTTGCTAAGGGTGCAGGCTATGATTTGTGCGATAGCTGAAATTGAAAGTGCTCGGAATCCTCTTGCGTATCGTTGGGAGGAAAGTGTACAAGAGGCAAGCACTGGCCTGATGCAGACTCTTCAGTCTACTGCAGATTGGCTTGCAAAGTAAGTTCAGCTGCCTCGTTATAGATAGGCGCATTTAAACTATGATGTTGAGCAGTGGGATTCTTTGGATTCTTAACAACAACGTCCGTCCGAAGGTCCTGTTTTTTCACCACGTTTTAGTTTTATCGTGGTGGAAGTCACTGCGAAAATGTACACGATCTCTTAAACTGCTGAAGAAATCTTATTAGATTTAGCCGTTTTGGAATGTTGCTGCAGAGACTTGGGATATCAGGCGTACTCCGTCGATTGGGCTTCTTCAATGCTCTACAGACCGTTTGTCAGTGTCTACTTCGGGTGTGCGTACCTGAAGTGGTTGTCAACCTACGATAGCAAGTAAGATATAAGGAGCAGCCCCTATTTCAGACACAGGAGGTTTTATCCTATCATTTGCCTAACCGTCATGATCTAGTAAAGACCTTTAAAGAAGGCACGTCCCGGCTCTCTACCTATCATGTGGTTGTTAAGATTAATATTTACGGATGAAGCCAGCATCATGTTTTGTCCCCCAGTCTATGAATCATGTGTATAAATTGCCTCAATGTATGCTTGACGTTCGCTTCTAAATGAATACAAAGAAGAACATACTGGTGGTTTTTCGTTTACGTGCTTTGGTTTATGGCTCTCGTCGAAGTAAAAGAAGTGTTGTTTCAGCTACAGTTTGCACAATTATGTATTAATTTGAGAGTCATGTGCAGAAGGAGAAGTGAGGAGTTCATGGTTCGAGGATACAATGGAGGTCCGAAGGGAGCTACAAATAAAATCACCCTAGACTACTGGAACAAGTATTTGGTTGCGAAACAGAATCTTTACATGAAGAGGTGAGCTTATGTTTTTATGAGATAAAAAACTCATTTACTTTCTGCGAAAGCAAGAAATGATGTCAATGAAGGAGTAGAATTCTGATCTTCGTTGTTTTCATTTTGCAGTGATACTATAGCCCCACCTTTGGCTCCATCTGTAGCAGTACCTGAAGTCCAGCCCGAGAGCTCGAAACCGAAACCGTGGCCACGAGTGAAGCCTTCTAATGCTCCCTTAGCTGTCGTTCATCCTCAAGAAGGTGACTTTCAAAAGTTCATATTCGCTGTATGTACGTAGAGTCTGCAAGATGATCGAAGTGTACATCCTCAGCTTTAGGTGGTGATTCGTACAAACTGTTGCAGAGATTGTGGGCTGTAGATAAGAAATATTTTATTCCTGCAGAAAAACGCGTCGACGTAGCGAAGGATTGGACATACTGGGAGGAGAAATGCTCTGTAGAAGATATGGAATATATGTGGAGAAATGCATCTGTTAAGAAAGAGTGGGTAAGAGCGGGAGAAAGAAGGGGAAGAGTGCGCTTTTCTCGTGACACGAAAATGCGTCCATTTCTTACCATTGCCGAGCTTCAGGTACTGGGCCCCACCATTGTTCGCCTTATTTTATAAGGTTCCCTTGTGTCAATGAAGGACAGCCATGTAAGAATTCGGTTCTGAGTCTGAACTTTATACTTCCTGTTATCTTTCGTATCGTAACTTCTTATTGTGCATTTTCTTGATACACTGCCCCCAAGGTTTGACTCTTATGTGATGCATTTTGACAGCAAAGACCACACAGTAATCAACACATATAGGAGTCTAAAAGATCATCATGCATTGTAAAGCAGGAGGGTAAAGAAATATACAGATAGAAAATGGCAGACAGATATGTTCCTCTAGAGAACGCCTGCTTGGTGTAAATAATCATTTGTGGTAGCTTATATAGGTGTACTGATTTAGCTACTCGGTGAATCTATTTCTGGGACTTGCGATGACTCACAACATGGTCTTGATATCACCTTTGTTATTGAAAGCCATATCTAGATCCCCTTTGGTTGTACCTCCCGGGTCTCTACTCTTCAGTCCCCTTACTTTTTAGGCGCTTGTGGTTGATCACGTGTCATTTTATCTTTAAGCAACCTGTTAAGTGAATATCATGCCCATCGATGGAAGTATCCTATTTGATTCTATAATCTGAAAAATTTACTCTGGTGGCAGGCTATAGCAGAGAACATTGCCGGACGATTTTTCTCCCACAGAGGAATCAGCCCAGTAAGTAGCTTGTGGGGAAGTTACTCGTTCACGCGGGGTTTTTTTGTGTGTTTTCAAAGTTCGAACAGATGAAATGCAGAGAGATACACCTCGTATGACGATACAAATTGTTGGTTGTTTTTGTAGAACTGCAAGCATGCATAGGTCTGTATCCTCAGGGTACGTAAGCATGAAATATTCTCTACCTGGTCGTGCAGGTCATGTTATGCTCCATCGCAGAAATTAGTAGCAATCGACTGTTACTTGGACTCGATGGCCAAAGTGGCATTTTGGGGCTTCCCTTTGAAACAGCTCTATGGCTATATCGGTGTGTAGGCATTACTTCGTATACCCTTTGCTCTTTCATTCAATGTAGTCAGTCTACGTTGTCAGCTTTGTCATCTTTGTCATCTTTGTCATCTTTGTCATCAGTCAGTCTAGGTTGTCACCTTTGTCATCTTCTCAGGTGTGCAATTATCGCCCTACTTTGGCTTTACACCATGCTCACATCCCGATCTTATTCACTACTGTCCATTTGTAGTGGATGGAATCTGAGAACGTCTGGTAGTAGTAATTGAATGAGTTGTTGCAGGATTGACGATTACAGGAAAACAACCACAAAAAGACTTCATGGATACTCGTTGTAAATAATAATTGCGAATCGAAGAGGTTGTGCCACCGAGCTTACACGGGGTTTGTGTGGTTTATGCAGAGACATGGGATACAAATCCTACAGACTGAAAGTGACTGAAGACCTCTTCAAGCCATTTGTATCCATGTACTTCGGTGCAGCATATGTTTGCTTTCTGTCAAATCACGGAAACAGGTAGGATCGTTTAACATCAGAATAAGCGGCCGAACACTGCTTTAACCTCTGCATGGCACATACATATTGTCAATTATTATCAAGTCTACGCGCTAGATCTAGTTTAGTTGTCACGCTGACTGTATTTGATGTGTACAAATAGGCCTAGGAGCGACGAGTTTGTCGTTCGGGGCTATAAGGGTGGAGTGGATGCGGTGGACGATCCAGAAACAATGTCTTTCTGGGTCCAGTATTTGGAAGCCAAGTCCCACTATCGGCTACAAACCAGGTTATATGCTTCATAGCCATGAAGTCGTTTCGTCATTTCTTATTCTATAAAGGAGACCTTTCTGGACAACTCCTCAGCATTGTCCTCGACGTCCGCTTTAGCTGCGATTGAAGTTCGGGGTTGTCCTAAACTAAGACGGGTGCTCATAGAACCTCTGAACAGCTAAGTGTTAATGTGTGGGGGAACACTTCAAGGACCGCGGCAAATGCAGCTATTAAAATCTTAGACCTAAATTGCTTTGTTTAAGATCAGATGTTTAGGCACTCTTCTGAAGTTGCATAGGGCGTAGATTGAGTAGCCCTAAAGTGGCAGTGGCGTTTTTGTGAACTGCTTCAGGAAAGGCGAGGGGAGTTGTTGTATACAATAGTATTGATCTTTTAAATTCGCCAACTGACATCGAAGGAAGCTATACAAACAATATCGGGCGCCATCTACTGATCTCTACCACCTACAGCTGGTAAGTCCCACAGAGGGTTTGGATACCCCTCAACATCCAATGTATTCTATTTATATCTCCAAGAAGAGATTTTCGGAATTTATATCCAAGCTTCCATTGCTCCCACCAGCAGACGCCTACGCGAATCAGGAGACAGTGAGTGCTCAGCCGAACCCGAAGCTCCCAAAATTTAGATACAACACAGGAAGCTTTAGAATGCTGACTTGTAGATTTTACAGCGATTTTGTTTTCGCACAGTATCCCATGCACCATCTCTAGAAACAAAGAAGCTCTTTAGAGCATACACTTGATGTTTTTGTGTGGGTTGCCTGTGATGAATAGTGTTATTAAACCCTCCGATGGGAAGGCATTTCGTTTGAATTAGAGCAGGCACAAGGGTTGCATTAACCAGGATACTGGACTGCATTCAATACCCTTTGTGTACCGTGGAGTAATGTATGTGTACTATGAATAGAACCTGCCTCACTTATGTTCACGTCTCTTGGTAAATTGTCAATGATGAATCCACCTTTCAGTTGCAAACTCCGTTTTGTGTAGTGGTGATATCGAATGTTTATGTGCTTTCTGTAATGTATAGCTATTCCACATTTGTTTGTATGATAGGGGCCGTCTCATTTGTGCAAAAGTGGGTCCAAATAACTTAGAAATCCATTGTCCAGGATCTTCTGTTTTGTTTGAGAAAGGAATGAAAGGCAAATAGTGGGTAGATTATAATATGCTTCTACGTTCTTGCTGGAATCTCATTCGTAATCAGGTTAGCCGACAGCCTCTTCATTAGCAAGGTAAGAGTTGCCGCAAGCGGAAGGAAACACATCACTTGTCGAAACAGTTTAGCTGTTATTAACTTCCATAATCTCTGTGGGGAATTAGAACCTCAAGGTGCAGCTATATCGAAAGGAAATATGTTTCTTAAAGACATTTTTGAACAAAATGTCTTATACCAAAATGGCCGGAAAAGGTTGGTTCTTATTTTGAATTTAGTAACACGGCCCTTGTTTTTGATTTATTATTAATGAGCGAAATGTCACTGTGGATCAGGGTCCTGAACTAGTGTCTGTGCTGCAGATACTTCTTACGCTAGTATGAGTATGACTTTATTTCTGCTCTCATGTTCATACTGGTCATTCGTTGTTATCTGGCGTTGAATAGTGAGGAGTAGTCTGTACCCTCATGATCTGCACCACTTCAATGCTGTTGACCACATGAGAGCAGGCACTAGAGAATATTACGTTAAACTTAAATGTTTTTATCAGCTGACACCGTGCGTAGTAAATGACTAATATATGCAGACAAGAACACGATGACTAATCCCACCGACGGAGTACAAAGCAAATCGGAGAGGGATCGGAAGGTAAGAAGCAAAACATATAGGGCTCTTTCGAGCTGCACCTGTCTTGTCAATCGAGTTGATTCCAGACATTTTTGTTTCTGAATAATGGTTATTCGCCTACTTCTCTGGGCGGGAGTGCAAAGAGCTTACATTTGAAGAAAATGTACAAATGTATTCTACGTCCATATGTAGTACATGACATGGTTCTCTTAAGTTGAAAATCGAGATACGGCGAGGCATGGAAACAAACCCTATGTCAAACTCCAAAGAGAGAATACAAATCACATGCCAGGGAATACAAAGTGAAGGTCAACCAGTGCTTATAGAGATCCAGGCCGAGGGCGAGGAAGATGAGACTAACTAGTGGATCCTGGAAATACTGAAGAAACATGTAGTGTGTCAGTACAAGCAAGGTGCTTATAGAGATCCAGGCCGAGGAAGACGAGACTCACTAGTGGATCCTGGAAATACTGAAGAAACATGTAGTGTGTCAGTACAAGCAAGATAAGTAACCAGAGGAAGACTAGCCCAAACTAGTACACTGTCATATGACAGAGACAGAACAACGAACCTCTTTTCTTGTTTATTCCTAAAACTCGAAAAAGTCCAACCCACCCAATGTATTCAATCCTTATCAAAGTACGTGGTGTGTATATCAGATGACGATCATAAATTAATCAACCTGACCTAAATACCGAACAACCTGATTCAATATTTATATCTATATCAGTCACAACTAAATCTTCAAATGCAAAGGTTTTCCACATTTTACCTTTAACAAATACTACACACATAATTACTTTATACATGTAATATTACGTTGCTTCCACTAATTGTGAATTTAATATTAAGAAGATGATGAGTTCGAATTTGAAAAATCAGTCGGAGTTGTCAAACAATTCATGATTCTCGGAGTCATCAGTCTAATCGGCAAAAGAAGTCTAAAAATGATTAGCTTTTGAAACTTACAGAATCAACTAAAAAGTATTAATCACAAAGATTCAACAATGAGTTAAACCATGTATTTGTGATTTATTTCATTGAGATTAGATTCACATCAACACGTCAATATTTTATTGAGAATGTACTACTGTAATCTATCATTGAGATTAGGAATCAACACTCGTTCAAAACAATGACAATTAACTCTAGCTAGCATCCCATAGATTAGTGATCTAACCGAACTTAATCAAGATCTAAAAGTAAAATTAATAATCTTATTTTTAATTCTAACCTTGAGATATTTAATTTCTATTTTTAACATTATTATAATCAAGCCAAAACCCAAGATGCGTGAATCTCTATAGTCGAGTTCACTAAAATTCTTATTGTTTTTTTACAAATTTCTTAAGATCAATTCAATGATTTTTGTTTAAAAACATTGTTAAACATTTAGATTGGACGATAAACTAATCTATGCCTTTTTGCATCAATCTTTGACTCTTTGCCTTTTTGCACTTATGCATTCAATGAAATAAGAAAATCATAATATATAATGAAAATAAGAAAAATGTCCAACATAATTCTTTAGATAAATCTTAATTTTTTAATGAATGATTTATCTATCTAATCGTTGTCAGAAATCATACTGTTCCAATTCTTTTCAACTATAATTATTCGTTAAATTTTTAAAAAATATGCGTATATGTAATATATATAAATCTTATGATTTAATTAAAATATTTAAATACATGAATTGTAAAAGTACTCATAGGATTTTTCAATCTGAATAGTTTACAAAATTTCACCTCTATATCTATGATTGTGTATATCTGCTTTGATGTTTAAGCATTGAAATTTAAGTCTCCTTGTATGAAAAATTGATGTAAGAAAATCACAAGAAGATTTTCATTGTCATTTTAATCAAATTTTTCCTCATCTCAATCCATAATAATATTCGAAGGATTATTTTTTTTCAAATTGAATAGTTTAAACTTTTAGATTTCTTGTTTGTAGCTTTAACTCTTTCAATTCAAACATTTCTACTAACAACTTTCTACTAAAAAATAAGATCTCATAATTGATGGTCCATTTATATTTCTAATAAAAATATTTTTCTTTCGTTTGAAAAAATAAGAAATATATATTTTTTGGTGAAAAAACGTAAAAGTATAGTTATCACAGTCATCACATATCTCCAAACATGAATCAAATGACAGATCATTTAGAGCTTAATATGATGTTCATTAACTTCAGTGTGTTTGTCTATGAATAGTTGGATAAATGTTGGCAGAAATGTTTGATCACATATAATGTTTTTATTAAAACAAATATGTACAACCCAATAGGTAGCTTCAATACGAGTTGAATCACATTTATTCTCTGTTACCTTATGTTGCGCAAGCATCTTATGTATAATGTTTATTATGGTATATGGAAAATAGATCAAGCCCCAGGGACCCTTAGGGTTTAGTATCAATATGGATCAATTGCACATTTTATTTTATTTAATATAAAATTACAATTCAAATTAATGTGTAATGATAAATCTATAATAGTTCCATTAAATTTTTTTTTTTCACATATATATGTGAAATACTTACACTTTAATGCATATATTATAAAAATGTACGATTTAGATTTCCTATCCATCCATCGTTAAAATCTAAAGCATATAATTTTAACTCAAAAATAATAAATCCTTTTAGACTATATCAAAACTAATATGGCCTTGATATTGAGTAGATTAATTTTTTGCAACTATTTGATTATATATTTGGGAATAATTCATTTTTTGAATAATTGAAATATACTTCATGCACATGTCTTGAAAATATTGCTTTCCGTCACATTTGTATTTTGGTCCGAATCAGAAACTCCTGTCTTAGTTTAAATTTACAATAAATAATCTTCAAAAAATGACGGGGAATAATTAAGTGAAGTGAAGTGATTTTTACCAAACAGATTTTTTTTTGAAAATTTGGTTCAATAATGAATATTTTTCAATTGAGGTACAGTTTTTTAATTGAACAGAGAAATAAGATTGATTGTTTTTCACGACCGTTAATGACATGTCCCGAGAGTGGGCATGGTTTACGGAGAAAACACTGATACACCATTACATCTAAAACCATAGTTTGAGCCGAACGTTATACAACAGATTATTGTTTTAGATGAGGTAGAGCAAGGGATTTTGCATACTTTATCCGGAGGTAAGCACTTCTGGTATGATCCAGGACAACAATCCTCCAGTGTTACAAGAGGATTAAGTTTATATTTTTAGCGTTTGTAGACACATGGATATATGGGATCAAAGATGACTATTTTTTTTTCAAATGTGTCTGATTTAAATAATAATAAGCGTCAAGACCATATTTATGGCTGTTATTTGCATTCAAGACTTCGGAAGACACATCTGCATAATGTTACGTATGATTAGAGATGCTATGAGGATTGCGCTTGCGTTAGTTCGTTCTAACCACACTACCAGTTGCGTTCATGATTGGTTTCACGCAGGCAACATTAGATAATGAGCTGTACATTATTATATCCTATGCTTTTTCCTGGCCTTTAAAATGAGTTTCCCCCTGTCCTTGTTGGACTCTATCATGTATTGAACTTAGTAGAACCAGATATGAGTATAGCGGAATGCTTATACTCATATCCATCGGTTATTCAGTTGATGCAACTCTTGGACATGTAATGAAGGGTTTTGTCCATATTGCATATTTTATAATAAAATAAGTAAGTTGATATAGACTTCAATAAAACTCAATCCAATACTTGTCAAGTACATAAAAACATAAACTAAAAGATTGTAATAAAAGTCTAACGAAAGGTCCTTATTATGTCTGGACGCTTTCTAGTGTCACTGGATCACATGATCTGCATGTAATAGATCTTCAACTAACCTCGTTGACGTAAGAAAAGAAATTGTCTTTTCGTTTTCGCTTTCGTTTGGGCAGGATTCTGAAGCTGTGTCGTTTGAAACGAATAAGCAATTGAAGGTCGGATTTGAGAGAAGAGATCGTGGAAAACGGGAAAGGTCGGTGATCATTTGGGCCATCGATCAATCATGCGCGCAGTACGTCGACCATTAAATTGAGGCGGAGATTTACAAGATCCATGATGAAATCGACGTACCGTACAGAAGGGGGCAGTGTTCAATGTGCAAGATCTGGGCTTTCATAGTTATCCTGCATGGACTCCGACGGCCATGCACTTGCAGCAGCACAAGGAGGAGGTGGGAGCTAGCTAGCTAGCTAGCTAGTCAGCCAGCCAGCCAGCCAGCCCTCGGGTACAAGCCTCAGCTGATGCATGAATGAATAAGGATCAGTGAAAATCAAAGCCTCATAATCTGATGCTCGGAGTTCAATCGGAGTGTCGTGTGCGTGGTTCGCTTGACTCAGCTTGACTTGACTTCACTGCCGCCGCTTCTGCTGCTGCTGCTGCTGCTTAAAAGCTTGACTTCACTACTGGCTGCCCCCGCCTCCTCTCCCTCCATCCCTCCCTCTCATTTTCTTTCTTTCTCTTTCTCTTGCTCTTGCTTTCTTTGTCTCCGAAATCTATTCTCGATTCCCGACGTCGATTTTTCCACAATCCGGATCAAAATCTTTCGAAGATCTTTCGTCGAATACTAACGACTTGTCGGCACCAGTCAGTCCAGTCCAGTCCAGTCCAGAACAGAAGGTACTGTCCTTTCTTCGGCTCTCGAGTGCAATTCTCTACGTGAAAGAAAAGTACAGCGTACTACTGCGCGTGCCTGCAGAGAATCAGTTCGCGCATCGACACTAGAGAGAGATAGAGATAGAGAGAGAGAGAGAGAGAGAGAAAATGAGAGATTGCAGTGGTTTGGACGCCTGAGGGGGCGATGGAGGGCTTGGCATGTAGTGAGTAAGAGCAGACGCAGACAGTGTGGGCAGAGGGCGATGGCGGGTGTACAATCTTGAGATGGCAGCAGGTCCGCAAGGACGAGGTGGTGGTGGCGGGCGGAGAAAGGGCGAGAGTGGTGAATGGCCCTAAACGCGTCGCATGGCGGCCATGAGTCCGTTGGAGCATGGAAAGAAAGATCTTTCGGGTGTTCTTGACCGTGAGCCATCGGAGGGATGGGGCTCGTTCAATCAATCGATCGACGTGATGCCAGGACAAGGACAAGGACAGACGACGACGACGACTGCAAGGACAGACGGAAAGAACCCCGCCCTGATCGGATCTTGAACGATCGATCGTAAACCCTCGCATGCAGCAGCAGCGGCACAGGTAGTCGACGACGACGCCTTGTCTCGTCGAGTCGACACGCATTCTTGATTGCGACGCGAGTCTTGGAACCTTTGGTGGCGGTCGTCTGCTGCAGCCGCTGCGACTGTCTGCCGGTTAGTGGATGCCATGGCCTCGGGGTTCTTCTTGACCACTTTGTACTTTATCTTCGCAAGTCTCGTCGGCACTTTTGGCATTAAATGGCTCTACGACAAGGCCCCTTCTTTCACAAAACTGCTCATCCTGCTCGTGAATACGGCAATTATCTGCTGCTATCTGATTTGGGTCATCGTCTGGATGGCACAGTGGAATCCACTCGTAGTTCCGATATTGAAAAATCCAAACGAGTGACAAAGTATACACTGAGCTCAGCTTTTTTCTTCTCTCTCCGGGGATCTCTCAAGCATTGGGAGGCCCTGGACATTTGGGGACTCCCTGCAAATTTAGACCGGAGACTTTTGAGAGCGAGTTGAATATTCTTTGGTTCTGTTCAGCCGGTGACTGCGATGATGCGGTTTGCAATATCTTTGTGGCCAGATGGTACTTTGTCCTTGTAATGGCTACCGGTAGTGTGGTCGGAGCTGTGGACATCTAGCAATCAAGGCCGAGATTTGCCTCATTAAATTCGGTGACAGTCCGTTGCTGGTGACATAGCAGCCATGTACTATGATTTCGGTCTGGGTCTCGGATTGGGTCGGATTGGATGGTACAGCGGCATCCTCGCATGGGGCTGGAGGGAGGAGAATGATGGAACTCACATCTCTGAATCCGGATGCAAGCCCCCTCATGATAGGAAAAGCAAAAGCTTGCGAGCTGCCATTAGCAGGCAGGGAGTGTGAATGAGTGGCCTAAGAAGAGAAAAATTCTGGTAACAGCCTAAGAGGCGCACGCTATCTATCAATTGATTTTACAGTACGATGCATCGACTGTACAACAGAAGGTGGATTGGTTTAGTTGATGGTGATAGATAGATAGACAGGCAGACAAATAGCGTGATAGGTGGGTACAAACAGAGCATGAGATCTTCGGACATGAAAAGAAGCCAAAGTGTGAAGGCAATGATGATTGGCAAGAGCTGCAAGCAATTGTTGATCATGTGCTCTCTGCGCAAAAGGGACCTCGGGGCCAACCAATCTCTGTAGTGTGCATGGCGGGCAGTAGAGTGCATGCATTGGATCTGCATCAAGTCCCATAGAAGAAGAACACAGAGAGAGAGAGAGAGAGAGAGAGAGAGAGAGAGAGAGAGAGAGAGAGAGAGAGAGAGAGAGAGAGAGAGAGATGGTGTGAGAGGTCGGAGAGAAGTAGTACAAGAAGAAGCAGGGTCGTCTTTAATCCATAGCATATTGCTTGACGTAATGTACAACTCGAAAGACAATGATCTTTCAATCTTTTTTTGGGTCAGAGGATGCGCAGAGGAGGAGCACTCCTTCGGGAAGAAGCAGGGCCGAGCCCATGCACAAACTTGATGGATTTGCGGATATTAAACATATTTTTTCAAGAAACACATTAAATTTATGTATGTATGAATCTATATGCATATAAAGGTTCAGTAGGCTGTGGTGAGCCTGGGGACTGGAGACAGACAGTGCTCTGCCGCTTCTTTGAGTACTAGTGAAACCTTACTGATTCTTTGCGAAGAATCCTCAGGTTCCAGTGAATCTTGCTCGTTGTTATTCTGGTGACCTTGGTCAAATTCGGAATGCCGCAGGTGGCAAAGAGCTTCGTGCAGCAATTCCTGCGAATCATCGTGCGTGTCGGTGTCCTGCACCTTCGTTGGTTGTTTCGGCTCCACATGGTGAAGGTGGGTGGCGATGGCTGCGATCTGCTCCTCAGCAGCCGCCTCCTCGTGCTCGAATTGCGGATGGCTAGAAATCGGTGCAATCTGAGGACCGGAGAACTTCCCAAACAATGTTGGGGCTTTGTGAGAAGGAGAAGGTGAGGGCGACGGGGCGACCGACCTCGTCTTGCCGATCAGTCGCTCGTATGTCTCGATCCTCACCTTCACGATTCCTTCGGGGCTTCCTGGGCCTCCCGATCGCGGAGGACTCGATGGAGGACTGTCCGGAGCACAGCTTCGTGCCCTCGCACGGAGCTTCATCGAATCGGACTTCAGGTCTCGACTCTTCCCTTTCATTCCTGGCCGCGATTCCTGCTTCTTGGTCACATGGAACGCATCAGCCGTGCCGAACGACAGAGCAGGCAGCGCTTTCCTCTTGCCGGATCCCGGCAGCCTCGGCAAGCTCGGCTCTCGCGGCTCTCTTGGCTCTCTCTTGAGCGACGGCTCTCGCTGCAGCTTGCCCTCTCGTGCCCTCCAGTGCACGAAAATCCCCGCGGGCTTCTCTGCCGCCGGTGCTGCTGCTGCTGCTGCTCCTTCTGCAATTTCCTGCTCGAGCTCAGGAATGGTCACGGTCGGCGGTGCGTGCTTCCCATGCCCAACCACCTGCTGAGCAGCAGCTGTGGCCTCAGCAGCAAGGCCTGGAGATATCTCGATCTCTTCGACCACCAGAATGTCGGATTCGGTGGTCGAAGTCTCAGCCAGAACAACCGCCTCCGCCGTCTTCTCTGTGGCCACGCCCCCATCTCGAGCCGTGGCTTCCACCACACCGACTGCTCCCAGCGTGGGCTTCTCCTTCTCCTTCTCCTTCTCCTTCTCCAGGTCGGTGACCGTCGATAGATCGTTCTCGACCTCGTCGACTGCAATCTCAGCTTCTGAGTTGGAGCTTGATGATCCAGGAGTTCTGGAAGCATTCAAGTCCGAACCGATGGCGTCAAAAGCTCCCCTGGAATCGATTTGAGCTGTTGCATCAAGAAGGACATTTCGTGTCAGTGCTTTAATTGGATCCTCGTCGAGGGTGATGGGCATGAAATGATGAAGCATGGAAGCATCCAATCGAGCGAATCAAATGGCTAAAGAGGCAATAATGTCAAATGTCAAATTGAATTTCGCGAACCTTCAGACGCGTCATCCCACGACCCTTCGATAGCATCGGATCCATGAACCTCTCTGCGGTTCTTCTTAGGATTCCTCTGGAACGTCCACAAGTCTTCTGCAGCCCCTGAATGATCATGTGAAGAAGCTTCAGGCATTTCTTGTTTCCCAGCTGAAAGATGAGAATCAATGGCCACAGAAGAGGTAGTCTTCTCTTCAACGACGACGACGTCTGTCACTCGAGACTCAGTTGGATCGGATTTGTTCTCTTCAGCTTGATCCATTTTGAGATCACAATCATCACCCACTGGCCCAGTGACTACAACCTGAGATTTCGAAGTGGGCAGAGTCTCAGAGCTTTGGCCGGAGATTCCCATGGCAGCAGCGCTCGGTGTAACAAGATCAGCAGGCTTCACATCCAAGGATTCCTGCACCATCTCATGACCAGATCGGCCAGAGGACGACTCATCCTCTGCATCAGGGGCAGTTGTTGTGGACTGGGTGGACTGGGTTGGTGGGATGAGAGTTTCCATGCAGCTGGACTGGAAACCCAATTCAAGAGTTGTAGGTGGAGCTTGAGCTGCATTCGAACAGACAAGCGAGGTATCAGTAGTTTCTTGCACTTCAGAAAGGGACTCCATCGGGGATTCACTGGCATCGAGAAGCTCCTCATGAACCGGAGGAGTCACGAGGTCGTCAACCTCCTCTGCAGCAGCAGACAGGTCAGCTGAATGTTGATCAGCTGAGAGAACCTCAGAGCTCGAGATGGCAAGGTTCCTCTCCTCCGTGTCCTGCACAGCTCCAGCAGTGACTTCTACTGGAGGTTGTTGTGGTTGTTGGGCAACGAGAGCTTGAAGGCCCTTATCCTCCACCTCCACCTCCTCTTCCTCTTCCTCTTCCTCTTCCTTCACGGCTTCGACAGCGACTGGCAGTGGAGGTCGATCAGCAGGAAGATTCTCAGAGCTCGAGGTCGGGAGATCCATGCCCTTCTCATCAGCTTCGACGGTGATTTCCACCGGAGGTTGATCGGCGAGAAGAACCTCAGGGCTTCTCAAGGTAGGAAGATCCCTGTTCTCCTCATTCACAACTTCAACGGTGATTCCCACTGGAGGTTGATGGGCGCAACTGACCTCGGAGCTCAGGGTTGGAAGATCATCGCTTTCCTCCGTTTGCTCCTCGACTGCAACGGGGGATGTCGCTGTCACAGGAGGTTGATCACTGGGAAGAGTCTCGGAGCTCGAGGCAGCAAGGTCCCTGTCGTCCCTGCCGTCCTGGTTCACAGCCTCGACGGTGGTGTCCACTGGAGGTTGATCGCCAGAAGCGACCTCGGATCTCAAGGTCGGAAGATCCTCGTCCTTCTCTGACACAACTTCGACAGTGGTGGCCACTGGAGGTTGAGCAGCAGCAGAAGGGACCTCGGAGGTCGAGGTCGGAAGATCTCCGTCTTGCTCTTGCACAGCTTCGACGGTGAGCTCTTCAGGAGGTTGATCGGCAGAGGGATGCTCAGAGCTCGAGGTTGGGAGATTGGTGTCCTCTTTCACAACTTCAACGGTGGTGTCCATTGGAGCTTGTACGGGAAGAAGCTCAGAGCTGAAGCTCGGCAGATCCCTGTCCTCCTTCTCCTCCTCCTCCTCGTCCACAACTGCGTCAGTGTTTTCGAGTGCTGCAGCACAAGCAACAACCCCGACAGGCAGGCCTTCGTCTTCAGTGTCAAGTACTGGTACATTGGTTGGCGATTCAGAAGAGTGCGAATCACATGGTGATTCTAGTGCTGATGCAAAAGCTACAGCAGATCCAGTTTTGTCCGAGGCCTCCTTTCGGTCTGTTATTTCTAGAGGTTTTGCGCAGTCCAGCTCGAAGTCATCTGCCTCTATTTCTGCACATCGTTACACTCTTCCCATTAAGAATCATGGGCGGCAAACTTTCAATATCAACTGTCAAGCAAACAACTCTAAAATTAAACTGCCCATTAAAGCAGAAAGTTATCCACTCTGCGCCATGGATGAATTATGAAGACCATTTTCTCCCTCTATCCCTCACCAATAGCAACCCACTCAACTCTACCACACTGTTCTACCACGACACGGAATGTTTGAGTCGAAATAAAGAGGTGAAGGTTACCTAGTTCTTCTCGAGACTTGATACCTTGCAAAGTTACTTCATCTGTGGACATTTCTCTTCTTGCCTCCTGGGACGAGAAGTCATTATCTAGAGTTACTGTTGAGTTGGCGACCACATTGTCTGTCATCAGAAGATTAATCGAATCCAGCTCTTGGCAGCTTTGACCTTCAATATCTTTCTCCGCCGAGAGTACATTGACACAGTCAGTCTCACCCAAAATAAGACTCCTGTTCGTATCTGGCAACGGAGGAACAAAAGAAGTCAGGCCATTGACGATCCAGTTGCTGCGAGGCAGAAACATCGACAAACATGATGAACACGAAAAGATCGACAGAGCAAACACAAAACGTGAAGAGATTCGGAAAGAAGCGAACCTTGAGATGCCCCATCCGAAGACTCTCCAACTGCGAGTGTCATCCTCGAAACATGCTCCTCCGAGACTGCAACGTCTGTGTTTGAACCCAACTTTTGCTCGTGATTATTGTCGACAGAAGCAAGTGAAGTACCCAGTTCCTCAGAAAGGCTGACTTTCTCATCATCTTCTATGGCCACCTCGGTCTCCTTAGCCACACAAATGGGCCCTGTTACTGCTGCCTGTAGTTCAGTACAAGGACTTGCATCAACTGGTTGAATAATATTTACACTGGAGACTTGTTGAGATTCATTCTGATCTGCTGCTGCTGCTGCTGTTGGTGCTGTTGGTGCTGTTGGTGGGTGTGACATTGAACTGTCAACCTTCGGCAAAGCCTCACAAGTGGGAGATTGCGCCAGTTCAGGCACAGCCTCGCAGCTTCGCTGGTCAACAGCCACTTCATCCGTAGATTCATCCTTCTGGCGATGTGCATCTGAACTGAAAGCTGCTGCTTCTTCTTGGTGAAGAAGCTGTTCAGTGACCTCTTCATCCGTCTCTTCCTGATCGGAAGTCTTGGGTTCGTCGTCGTCGTCGGTTGTGGTGGAGTTGGTGGTTGTGGGGACCGGGAGGTGGCGGGTCTGTAGAACTGAGACGGGGCTTCTTGCTGCCTCTCCATCCGAATTGTTGAGATCAGATTCATCAGACAACGACCTCCTTCCTTCTTGCAAGATGTCCCCTCCAACACTCTCGTCTACTGCTGCTGCTGGAGCAGTAGATCGAGGGATGGTGACAGTTCTCACTGTCGGAAGATTCAGGACTACTTCTGGATCTTCATTTTCTAGGTCGCTCACAGCTTCTGACTTCCTCTCGGTAGCGATGGTCGGCGCGATTTCTTGAGCCTGAATATTATTTGCAGCCTTCGGGTTCTTCATGCTGCCTCGAGGGCTCAGGAGTAGAGAAGGACCTTCTCTTCTGTGTCGCGGGCTTAAAAATGTGTCCCTCCTCGACGCGGGTCTCGGGCTCAGTAATATAATGGGGGCTTGCAGCTCTCTCAAGCTCGCATGCTGTGCCGAGCCCCCATTCATGGAACCAGATCTGCTCAAGAAAGCCTCCAATGAGAGACTGGCAGGCATGGGCAGATTGTTAGGCATTGGCAGATTGTTCGTCTCAGGAGCTTCCGCATTTTGGAGTGCAGCAGCTGCGACATATCAAGCACGTTCATGAGCCTTCTTCTCGTCGATCTGATCTAACTTGCAAATTCGAAAACGCTGCTATCAGTCTAGAGCTTTCAGCGTGTGCACATTCCCAAATTCAGGCGAGTTTTTGCAATTTTTCAAAAGAGAATCATCCTCGTCCTTATACTCATCATCGAATCAAATCTGGATCTTCGATCTGGATCGGCACCTACCTCTCTGAATACGGTTCTCTTCATCAGAGGAGGCGTCGTCTGAAGATCCACCAGCTGCCACTGCATGTCGTGTGACGACAAGAGCTGGGCATTTCTTCTTGTGCTTCCTCCGGTGCTTGGCACTCGGGTGAGCATTGGGATACGTCCATCCGCAGTGCCGGCACACCCAAACCCCTTCCAAAGCGTGAGCTGAGCGTCTTCTCACTGCATCATGGCGATCAGAACGATCCAAGTGAGCCAGCTACTTCTACGTGTACTCAAAGGCCAGTGAAAGCCCAGCACAACCGATCTCTCAGTTTCGATTAGCTCAGACAGCAATGGACGATCTGTAGAGGAATTGAAATCTGTGGGGAAGAATCGAAAGACCTGGAACTGGAGGTGCGAGAGAGAGTACGTACCATGCTGGGTTTTAAGAGCAGGACTCAGATTCGACGCAGTCGATTGTAGGGCCTGACGGTTGTTCTGGTCCGACAAAGTGCGCTCGGTCAATGGAGCGGGCTTCAGAGCTTCTTCGCCGTGAAGGCACGGCTCTTTGGATCGATGCGAAACGCACAGCGACTTGGCAGCACGAGGTCCACCATGTTGCACGGTGTGCAGAGAGACTGCAGCAGCGGTCTGCTGCATCGGTGCAACCTTGGAGGAAGGATGAGGGTGGCCACACTTCTCATGAGCTGCAGCAACGAGCAACGAGCAACGAGCAACCCACGACACAGAGTCAAGATCTAATTAGACCCCAGTCCGATCAGGTCACCCTGCAGGAACGAAGTTTCTGCGTCATGAATCAACAAAATCAATGCGTCTGGTCACGTACTCTTGTCTGGGGTGGATTCATCGTCGGAGGAAGCATCGTCCGACGACGCTCCATCCATCATGGACGGCTCAGGTTCAGGTGGTGCTTTCCTCGACGAAATTGTACCAATGAATCCTGGTATGGAACCACAGACCTTCTTGTGATTCCTGCGGTGCTTCGCACTTGGGTGATGGTTTGGATATGTCCATCCGCATTCGTGGCATGTCCATAGATCCTCAGGGGCTTCGGTTGCGCTTAGGTGACCTGGCATTATATTCTCCAATCAATATAAATCTCCGGTGTCGTTCCTGCAGTGCGATGCTCGTGTTAGCTTCAGATCGAACCGGAAATCTGAAATGTTTTGTTCCGCACGCAGATATATACTCAAATATTCTACAAAATCCGCGTGCAGCATCTCCAATTTGAAGGCCGATGTACCGGATTTCATGCGGGTTGAAATTCAGATGCTGCCAAAATCACGTGAGGAGAAACCAACTCGAGGAACTGCATCAGTTCGGAGATAGATTTAACAGATCTATAGATGGCTCGAGCAATCATGGTGTTTACAGGATGGATGAGTTTAGTCGGAGTCCAGAGGAACGTGATAGTCCATTCTGAATTGGTCACGTTCACTGCTGAACAAGAGGTTGATTCTGCTGAAATTTAGAAGAAGAAGACAATTCGTCCTTCGACCGGAGATCACAGCAGCAACGCTCGTAGAGAATCATCCATTCTACGACTGCAGTGCACAGGCGAGTGAGCCAGGGGGGAAATTGACTGACGACAGTGATGTGGACGTATGTACTTACGTGTGTTGCAAAAGTGTCGTGGGACTTCGCCGACAAATGATGATGATGATGATCTTACACGCAACCTGATCGATGTCTCGGCTGCTTCCAGTCACGATCAGAATGTTGATCAACGTTGACACTGAACTCTGTGAATTGAGCTAATTAATATTCTTGAGATCCGCAGACCTTTAATTGATCAATAGAGCGGCAGATTGTTGATCCACTATAATGTCTTAAAATGATGAAGTTGACTACTTTGAGAATCTACCCAATCGACAGACAGATCCTGCAGGTGTTGTGATCGTAGCCAAAAGAAGAAGCAGAGATCTAAAATTGGATTTATCTACCGAAGAAGGGAAAGGCAGTTTATCTATCGATGCTTTGTCCTCGTTTTGTTCAACATCTATCTGCTTTAGTCTAACCTGACTATCTTAACCCGCTGAGAGAATTGTATGAATGTCTGTGCACAGAAAGAGAGAGAGAGAGAAGAGAAGAGAGAAGAGAGGCTGTTGAACGAAAGAGTGTTGGTGTGTGTGTGAGAGAGAGAGAGAGAAAAATTGGGGAGAGGGGGGTGAGGGAGGGAGGGAGACAGAGACAGAGAGAGGGAAAGGGAAAGGGGAGGGGGAGGGGGAGAGAGGAGAGGAGAGGAGAGAAGAGAAGGGGGATGAGGAAGGGGGGAGCGTTTGTGCAGAGGATGGTAGAGAGCCGAGGGTGTAAAGACTAACAAAGAGATTCTGAGCTTAGATCTGAAACCACAATCCAAAAATTACAGCCGAAGGAAACCGGGGCCCTGTAGACCCTGACCGCATTGCATCTGGAATCAACGTGATGCATACCTGTCATCATCAGCCACAAGGCACCAATGTACAGGAACAGCTTCATCAGTACTATAGTTCTCTGAGCCACCCCCACTCCCATCCTCGTGTGGGCCCCTTTCTCTTCTCATAATGCACCTCTAGCCCTGCTTCTTTGGACACCTCATAATTTCTCAGAAAACAACGAATTCTACTCACCTGCGACGTGTTTATCTTTCCTTCATGCTCGCACGTCCTCCATTCAGCCCTCCCTCCCTCCCTCCTCTCCCCCCACCTTCGGCTGCGCAGCCACCTCGCCCTCTAATCATGACCCTTCCCCATCCCCGTGCTCCTCGATCCGAGACCAAGATGACTTTCCGGAGTCAACTACACTCGTCCTACTCGTCTCACCTCTTCACTTCTCTCTTTCTGCTGCAAGTGATCGCCATTAGCTCCTCCTCCTCCTTTCTGATTACGCCCCTCTCGCTTCTTCTTCCTTTTCCTCCCCTTTTCTTCGGCACAGTGGAGCACCTCCACGCTCATATTTTATCCAAACCTCTCCACAAGCTCCGGGAAAAGCGTGCACCTCCCCCTCCCCTCCAACTTGGAACGCATTCTTAGATCCTTTCGGAGCAGGGGCCATCATGCTTTGAGCAACGATGGATGTTATCTGCATTAGTTTGTGTCGGAATTTGGCTTCGGTTTTTGTTTGAGTCCGCAAGCTCTGTTGCGGGTGACGTGCCATTTCCATCTTGGCGGTTTCTGGCGCTCACTGTGCTTAGAAGAAGAATCGTCCGGAGGATCAAAAAAAGATGAGAATCGTAAGAGCTTCAATTCGTTCGATCTATATCACGAGAATCTCTGTGCTAGCGCGAGCATTTTCCGAGCCACGTTGGGACGAATTCCTTCCTTCGGCGAGACTCCTGCCGCCGCTGTTTGCAAATTTGTAATGTTCTCATTCTCGAGCACCCATCCCCGGCATGGGGATGGGTGCTCGAGAATTATTCATGGGCCTGGGCTGAGTCGGACGGAATGGACTGGAACCTCGAACATTGAGGCAACTCGATTCTTCCTTGCCATCCAGCCAGCCAGCCCCCTTGCTCAACTCAAGAGACAAGGTGCGGGTCAAATGATGGAACAACAGCAGCAGCAGCAGCAGTCTTGAGAACTGGTGCTGGAAAATCCACACTTCCAATGTTGAACTAGGTGGAACAGCTCCCCGTCGCTCCCGAGATCACAAGACATGCACTTCTTTTCACCATGATCATGCATTTGCGTAAAATTTACGAGCTGCCAGCGTTAATTTAGAAGTACCACCAACTGTAAAACATGCCTTGTGCAAGCTGTCGTCTACGCTCGTAGCACAAGAGGTGATGCAACGATCTGGGGACAATTCGGAATGTCATGCTTGCTGGATGAGGAGGAAGGGCCGCAACAGTGTGAGCACCAGGTCACAAGTCCAGCTCTGCTGTTGACGAGGAGGCCAACCGTAGTTGCCGTCGAGTTAACTCACGTCCAGGAATGAATGGAGCATACACTACATGACATTGACATTGACATTCCTGCGACGGTGGAGTCTGAAAAGGAGATGGCTACTGAGCATCTTGAGGATGTGGTATTTCGTGCGAAAAAGTGAAGGGGCGTGGATTCGAAGCTACTGATCTACTAAATGGCCTGATCAACTGGTTTTCTCCTCAACTACGGATGGAGGCTGAGTGGGAGTGGGCAACGAACAGTACAGCAACAGCAACTGCGCTTTAGACAGCTCATTTGTGCAGATAATGATTCCTAAGTGGTTGTCTTTGATTCTTGGGGTTCTATCTATCCTCATAGAGCTTCTGCTTACTCGGTACTCCTTCCACGAAGTAGTAGTACCATGTGAAGCGCAACCCCTGTGGAATTTCTCGAACTCAGCGTAGTTTCCACTTTCCCTGGCCCTGGTCATCACAAGGTGTTAAGCTTTCTGCATGATTCTTGTTCAGAAATATGCTTTTAATTGTAAAGTTGAGAATATCGTAATCACGTGTTCTTCCGAAATTGATTCCTCGTGTTCTCAGTACACGTACTAGAGAGCCTTATGACAGTACTGATTTCAGCTTGAGATACATAGTCAGTCAGCCACCCATACAGTCTTTCTATTTTCAGCAAATCTGAGTGTTCTCCTGCTAAGGTTTAGTCCAGTCCCTCTGTCTCCAGAACGATGGTCCAGATCTCCATGGATGGCCCCGTTTGACCATGTCACGAAAACAGATCCATCTCTTGCAGCAGGAGCCATTCGGAGGGCCATTCCAGCGGATTATCATCTTCTCTCTTATTTTGGGATGTTGACCTGTACTGTACTTGGTCCCCTGCTCTGCCTCCCTCACTCTCCGAGCATAACTTACGGATTATGGCCGACGACTCCAAAACCGATCGATCAGCTTTCGTCGGTTTGGATGTCTCATGGGAGGCATGATTTGACTGTTTGGCTCAGGCCCATGAGATGTCAGGACTTAGCATAGGTGTTCATAAAATCTTGTGTGCGCCATGACAAGATCAGATCGAGAATTCAGAGATGTACTTAGAGAGTATACCAGTTCACACGACGACTGAACAACGATATTGTGATCACCAGTCACACCAGTCAATTCACAATGATGACCCACATGCAAATACTGTCTCGAAGGCTAAAGACAAAGTCCTGACGAACTTGAGTCACGAGCAGGAGGAGTAAATTCTTGATGATATGAAACCGTTCTTTCGTTACAATGAGTATCACCAAATTCATAGTTTCCAAGTGAGAATATCCTCATTACTGGTCACTCTTGTCCTTGTCTCTTCTTGTGTTTTACTATCAATTCAGCACCCTCATCTGCGTTCATAAACATGGCTCAATGTTCGCTATTTGCAAGCGGAGATGTGATTTTATCAGAATGCACGACGTGCTTTATATTTGATGTATATAAAATAGATATTGCCTGATGTTTTGATATTCTAAGGCATTCAAACAATCGATGGCTCTTATGACTCTCGATCTGTCAAATCGAAAGAATATTCCTTGTAGATTCACTAAGACATGAAGCAAGTCTAGACGTCAACAAGCATACTACATATTATTGCAATAGCATCGGATTTTTTTTGCGGGAAAAATAATAACTTGTTTGGAATGCAAATATTCGTAGTGAAGCGAACTATGGAAGCCCTCTAAATGTTCCTCGTCACATTCATGTTTGCAATATATGAGTAAAATGTGTATAGATAATCAAATAATTGAATGATTTGAACATCTATACACATTTCAAATATATCTGATAAGGATCTAATTGTTCCAAAAAATATTTGAAGTAAAAATATTGTGAAAAAGATTGTCAATAGTTTTTTCTACTTATCCAAGAATAAGTAGAAAGAACCAAAGACAAATTTTGCTATATTAACACAAATGGCTGACATCAATTCATATTTTAGAGTAGATATATGTTTGCTCTCATGAATTCTTCTTTAAATCAAAAGGTTGGTTAAGCTTTAGAATTTGTAAAACAAGCTGAGGAAAATGACTGAATAGATCACATCATTCATTGAATATTCCAACATAAACTTTGGGTCATGCACTGCAAGTAGTTTGTACTTTGATACACATCTGGAGATAAAAAGAAGAAATCTATGGAATTTTTTATGTCGAATAGTGAAATTAATTTTGTTCGCTCTTGGCTAGTGGTTTTAGTTGTTCTTATTATTTGTTAGATGCTGATTGGGGATAGCTGGCAATAGTAGATAAGAGTCTTCATAAAACTCTTTGTAACACATTAGATTCAATAATTTTAGCTATGTCTTTGTTTTTCTTTGCATTCCTTCAAGGAAGTGAATCATATATCGAGATATTTGCTCGATGGGACCCCATCAAGAACATATTTGCTTGATGGGACCCATCAAGTTTCGTTTTACCCAATGGGATCCAATGGACGGTGTGCCGTCGATGAGTTCTAGTATATGTTCTAATATGAATATGTCCTGTTGCCTGTTTTTGTATTTGTTCTTTAAAGAGTATGTTCATACTTCAGAAGATCCGAGAGCCGAGCCGAGAAACATTCTATGATGCTCACCGTCCACCGAGCGGACTGCTCGATTCAGCCTCAAATTTGTCGTGACACGCAACGATATAACTCCTACACGCATCCAGTGCAACAAGGTCTTGCAGTCTGCCGACCCAATCTGAGCTCCCAATGAAACCTGTCCCGACACCGAATTATCTATCGATACTCCCTCACGGCCAAAACTTCATGCTTCTCCAGATAACCTGAGATTCCATATCCGCTGCCTGACGATACCCTTCCGGCACCGTCGAGTCCGAGGTGCAAGAGATGATCAATACTTCACTTCACAGCCGCAGCAGAGAGCCCAGAATTGTTGCTGCTCATGACCACCACCGCCAACACAACCTTCGGCTCCACATCGGCGAGCTCCCACGCTCGAGCGAGCTCGTCCCATCATTTCTCGAGTCAGTCATCCTAGTAGGGGGGAAGTGCCGTCGTTTAGGGCCTCATACTCCTCGCTGCGCTCTCCGAGCGCGAAGAGATGTTTTCGTCGAGCGGCAGCCGCTTGGCCATACTTCACGCCGTCTGTTCATACTAGAACATTCTGATTTGTACCGTCGTTGGGGTCCCATCGGGTGAAACTAAACTTGATGGGTACCATCAAGCAAATATGTTCTTGATGGGGTACTATCAAGCAAATATCTCATCATATATCCGATGTACATTTTCATGAGCATCTGTTTTTCCGTAATCTTGTTTTAAATAAATTAATAACACAACTTTTATGCTTCTCGGATTTCTCAAAAGAAAAAATTATATAAGTGAGCAGAGATAAAAGCTACCAAGTCATGATGAATTTTATTTTTCCTCATTTACATGGAGAAC